CGCTTGAATTTTTTTAATGCACAATTGATCTTTTTATTCGGGATGCGTCCACGTGGGTAAGAAAAAGCTTATGTATTTGAATTTCTCAAGAAACTATAGGGAAAGCCAAAACAATCAGTTGAGAAAGGTCAGTCGCACTTATTATAAGGGATAAAGGGCTGACGGAGGGAAGAGAAGTAGCGTTTAATCTCATTTGCTTTATTCATGACCACGATGGCATTGACCACGTTAACTACAATAATTACTTTTTAACCACATCATTATAATGGCAAACCAAGTCAGGGAGTGTCATTATCTCTTGAATGTAGTTGCATGTAATTCTCTCTCTCTCTCTCTCTCTCTCTCTCTCTCTCTCTCTCTCTCTCTCTCTCTCTCTATCCATCTCTCTATCTACAGTGTCTCACAAAAGTGAGGATACCCTTATATTTGGTTTTCACAGGGGACAATACTGTAGAAATTAAATTGGATATAATGCCAGTAGTCGGTGTAAAGCTAGTATGCAGCATTGATTTGTTGTCCAATGAAAGCAATTTAACACACCGCCATTATTGTCATGAATATCTGGAAACTCATGTGAGTGCCACTTGTCCTATTCATCAGGTCAAACATACAAATGTGTTTATCAGGGATAAGAACTGATAATCTCCTGCCTTGGGTACTATTGTCTTATTCTGGTCCCGAGACGTTCACCAAGAACTCTTGGAGGGTTTCAGAAATAGAATTAGTGATTTGCACAATTATTGCCTCTCGCTATTTGAAGCTTGAAACTGAAATACAGAACACTTCTAAGGTCATTCTAAAAGAAGTTGGGTCCTTGTTGTCTGCACCGTAGCGCGAATGCTTCGAAAACATGCACAAGTGCTGCCAACATTGCAGCAGAAGGTGCAGGATCTGGAGATCAGCCTGTTAGTGCTAGACCCCATTAAATTGGTCTCCATGGTTGTTGTCCTTTTCAAGTGTCTTATAAGATAGCCTGTGAGCAGTTTATTGAACTCAAGCAGCCCATTACCAGAAATTGAAGGTGGAGGTGATGAACTGACCAAGTATGTCCAAAACTGAATCAAGCACTAAAATCCACCGGAGTGGATGCAGATTCAAGGCTGTAGTTCTGGACATGTTTGCAATGAGCAGGGGCGCCATAAGTGGGAGAAAATTGATGACGAATCACAGGGTCTCAAATCGCTGCCGGTGCCCCTAACTATGTGGTGGAGTCACTTGAGTTCCCAGCTACTGTGTTTATTGAGACGAGAATGACTGTGTTGATGCATTTTCTGGGGATGGTATTGCCGTACAAGTTGTACACTTACAACCGCAAGTTATATCCAGGTTATATTTCTGCAGTGTTTGTCCCTTGAGAATGTATGACAACGTGATTGCTGAAATTTGGGGGGTGTATTCACTTTTGAGATACCTTCTCTCGACAGTTGACATCATGAAAAGCTTTTGTACAATCATGGGCACATACAATTGTTGGTGGAATCGGTTTGTCCATTCACACACATCCATTGCATACGTCTTTCTGTTTACTTTTACATACATTCACAATGTCCTTTTAACAACATTCAAAAAGTGTGTGCGAACTGAGGGCACTCATTATTGAATCTTTGTCTTTGGAATTTTTTCTCATTCTTGCTTGATGAACAGTCTCCAGTCATATTTTGTGCTCTAATAAGGCGCCAACCATTGTCAATGAGAACACTGCTGGTATGCCGGTGTTGTACTCACACACTTTTACGACGAAGCTACGCTGTTGTAAAATGTACAATATGTGGCTTCTCATCGACTTGCTGAAATAAGAAGAGATGTCACTGAAAAGATGGTGTTTGGGTCTATCGAAGGGTCCAGCTCAGGGGTCACCAACCTTTCTGAAACCAAGAGTGACTTCATGGGTACCGAGAAAGGTGAAGGGCAGCAGTATGTGTGTGTGTGTGTGTGTGTGTGTGTGTGTGTGTGTGTGTGTATGTATATATACAGTAAATATTCCCATTCCCGGAATTCTATGAAAAGGAATTTCCTTCACCCGGAACAAAAACCTATGCATTAACATTATTACTGGTTACGATGCGACTCTCTTCTCATTCATTCCCGCAGTTTCACTGTGCTTTAAACTGTGTGGACGCTCAGCGTCTACAGCGCGGACGCTGGACGTCGAGAGAGGAGTCCCAATGCATTGAAAGGAGACGAGTCATTGGATAAATGCTGTTTTTTGTCCCGCCTATTTGGACGCTTAGCGTCTCTGGGAGTCTATGGTGGGCATGTATCGGCTGACCCGGACGCTCAGCTTTTCTGCACGATGATTGGATGATGTGTCTGAGGCTGAATCTCTTTTTGATTGACAGCAAAATGAGCCAATCACCGATCTTTTGGTGGAGGCGTCCGTGGGACCATTTTTCAATTCTCATTCTGTTCTGAGTTGAACTGGAGACTTCTTCTAATCATTTTAGCGACACTCTCTTTCTTGAAAACGACTAGCGACAGATTAATATTTTATTTCTGGTGTGTTTTATTGTAGTTGCTTGTGTCAGCAGACTGATTTATATCACCACAGTTCAGACCCTGGAAAAGACGCTTTGTTGATATGACAGGGTCACAGATCATTTTCTTGAAAAGGAACAGAGAGTAGAATTCATGTATAAATAAACGGACACATTTTATGATGTAGGCCGAAATTGAGCTTCCCCTCCTATATATAAAAAAATATATATATATATATCTATATATATATATATATATATATATAGATATATAGATATATATATATATAGAGAGAGAGAGAGAGAGAGAGAGAGAGAACAATTTTGTGAACTGGTTGACATTACTGCCGTATAAATACAATGATCAGTCATAACTTGTTTTTGCCTTATGAAAGTGAGGAGCTGTGCAAGGAAATGGTTGAGAGGGTAACAGATGAGGTATCCATCCATCCATTTTCCGATCCGCTTTATCCTCACAACGGTCGCGGGGAGTGCTGGATCCTATCCCTGCCGTCTTTGGGCAGTCGGCGGGGGACACCCTGAACCGGATCGCAGGGCACACAGAGACGAACAACCATCCGCACTCACAGTCACATCTATGGACAATTTAGAGTGTTCAATCAGCCTGCCTTGAATGTTTTTGGAGTGTTGGAGGAAACCGGAGTACCCGGAGAAATCCCACGCAGGCCCGGGGACAACATGCAAACTCCACACAGAGAGGCCAGAGCCGGGATCGAACTCCCGACCTCTGCACTGTGAGATCGAGGCGCTACAGATGAGATATTTAATACTTTATTTTTATCTATAGAAAACAGTGCAATTTACACGTCACACAAAACCAATCAACAACGAAATGATCATCGATTCAACCAGGTGATTAGCTGATGGTTTGCAGCCCCAAATTCAACCCTATTTTGTCACATTTTAATTCACCTTTTCCATGACACTGCTATGTTGCCACTGACAACATTGTTTCTTTTTTAGTGTGAAGACCGGCATTGTGTGTAGTTTACCAGCGTATCATAGTCAAGTGTGTAACTTGACATGGTCACTCTTGTCTGAGTCAATCTTCCAAATGTGCATTAGTGAGGCGTGCTCTGTGTTTGTTTTTGATGAAGTTCAGATTCGAAAATGCAGACTCACACAGGTTGAACCAAACAGGCTCGTGACCTTCGTAGCTGATGTGTACATGCCACTCTACTTTTCTGTGTCAACAAGGCACCAAAACCTCTTTTTCTTCTTTATCAGAAAATGTGTCGCTCCAAATGAGGCTTTGGTTGCTTTTCAGGACTTTTTCGCCGGCTTCGTAAAAAAAAGACTGCTGCTGATCGAAAGCTGCCTTCAGCTTGCGGACCTTCTCTAAACAAGGAATGCTTCCGTGGGGGGTAGTTAGCGTTGTAAATTTGATGACGCAAAGTGAAGCGCCGCTCCACATTGTACCACTTCACTGTCGCCACAGTTGCCCCACAAATGAAAAATACTCAGCCTTCTTTGATGGTAGAAAAAAGAATTCTTCCTCCCAATCACTTTGAAAATGATACGTTTTCTGTCTTGTGTATTGCCACGTTTTGGGGTAATATAATGCACTCCGCGCACCAACTTCACTGCCCGCTAGCTTTCTCGCCACAAACGTAGGCTTTGTCGTGCACACAACACTGACCTTCAAACTAGGAAGAGTTCACCTTAACTTTACGTATATGAAACATATTTATTTTTATTTTTTAAGCCCTTGTCATTTTAAAATCTATATAAATGCAAGTGTAATTTTGGAAAAAAAAATTACAGCAGAAAAAAAAAGTATCATTGACACAGCTCACTTGCAAGTTGTGCTATTTTTAGAACAGGCCCCGAGCGACTCATGTGGTCCTTGCAGGCGACATGGTGCCAACGTGTTGGTGACCCCTCGCTCTAGCTCTTATCCCTTGTTTCACATAACCAGTCGTAGCAATACATTATTGAAGCAGCCCAGGTCTAATTATGTGCAAGCGAGTTGCTCGTTAAACTTTGCTCAGCATAAATAAGTAGACAACAAAATGTTAAGTGAGAAAAAGTCTTTCTTTTCTTCAAAGTACAAATGTGGGCCACTGATTGCAAATAAGATTTGTCAATATGCACACAAAAAAAGGGCTTTTTCTAACAAATGCATGTAGCTAAATTTAAGTCATTTGTTATCAAAAGTCAAAAAATTGTCTTTGTGTTCACTGAGAAGCAGCGAAAAATCGTATTTTTCCAAGGGGGCGGTGGGGAGGCATTTCTGCTGAGCAGTATGTGTTAAAATGAAAGAAACTTTCAAAGATGCGTTTAAAATAGCACGTTTTGTGCATCACATCCTGTCACATGGGAGTGTCACTTGTCTCTCCACAATCTTGTCTGTCCTCACCATAGCAACCTCCCTCTTCCGTCCACACACAGGTTCTTAAGAAGGCTTTGCTTTCTATCATTAGCTTGCCTCTTCCTCTACCCTCTCTCTATCCTCCTCCTCCTCCCTCCTCCATGTTCCCGATTAGTGACTGCCATTTTAATGTAGGAGCTGAAGAAGCATCTCAGTTCAAGACTCAAAGTGCAGACACACAGTAGCTTGAACAAAAACATGTTAAAACTTTCTGTCTGACTCAACCAGTCAAACTTTTCGAAGACCGTTCCCCTATGGCATTTTCAGATTGTCTTTGGACCATGTTTCCTAAAAATGTGAGTGCTATTTCTTCTTCTTCTTCTTATTGTTATTATTATTATTATTATTATTATTATTGGTATATTTGTGCAAAATGTGTGTGAAATGCATAACAAGTAACTACAGTTAGTGAAAACTGAAATGATTCTAAATTGTTCTATTCTGGTAAGATTTAAGGATTTATGTTTCTAATAAATAAACAATTGTCGACACTATGTGGGCTGGTGTGTGTAAATATGTGGCTACAAGCTAGTATTGTTTTTGAACAACATCTGTGCATTTTTCATACATTTTTCTCCAAGTGAGGGTTGTGCTATAAATAGCTGTGACTATTTTTGTTTTGGCAAAATGTTTTGTTGAATGATGTGGAAACGAGGGAAATACCTCGGGTTCTACTTCAGGTGGTTTGGAGAATTTCGATTTCATCATCTTCACTTTCACCGCGCACCTTCTTATATAAGGCAGTTCTATTAACAAGCAAAGCAAGGTGGAAAGTTTCAAATGTGCCTCATGAATTTGGTTTGTATGACTAAAATAAAAACAACTGGCTACTTAAAACATTAAAACTTTAACTGTGCATTTCCCTTTAAAAATAGAGGCTGCTGGTGTTTTCATTGTGTTTTATTATTTGTCATTGAGAACTGACTATTGCTTTTAGTTCAGTGGTGTTGCCCAAACTACATTGGGCAAACTTTTGCTCAATAGGACAACTGTTGGATATGATATCATTGCTGGCAATATCGTTTTATGATATTTGTGTTATTTTATATTACCTTATTGATGTTGCTTATGTACTCGTCTTTTGGGCAAGGAACATGGACATTTTTTATTTTATTTTTTTCAATCTCCTGTGTTTTGACAGTAAAGTAAGTGATTTTTTTTTCCCCCTCTTTTTCTCCGAGCGATATGCGCACCGACACGGAGGCTTCGCCCTTTTTAGCTCGACGCATGCGCAGACGTGTAGATGCGCAGGACCAAACACTAGATGTAAGGTTGTTAGAAGGGATTAAAATGCGGAGTGTCACGTTGAGGTTGTCTGCAGCCAAGAGAAATTGTTTGCCCTCTTATCTCAACCAAGGAATTAACATCAATAATGCACCGAGTCATGTCAAAACCTCTCATAGTTTTGTTTTGATTGTTTTCATTTTACAATATGTTTATTAATGTGGTTGGAGTTTGAAGTTATAAAGGGTGTTCCAAAAGTCTTGGGCACATTTGAAGTCCCCATATCTCCTTAACTATGAAAGGTAGTAAGATAAAAGTTGTGCCATTTTAAAGCTAATTACATGAAGTTTTTTTGTAAGGCTATTGATTTTTTAAATTTCTTTTCAGACCCATTAATGAAGTTCACTCAACCAGAAAAGGCGTTTTGTGTGCTTGAATTTGCAGAAACTGAATCATAGACTGTTGTTCAACGTGCATTTCGCAGAAAATTCGGAAAGGAGCCACCAGAGAGGAAGCCCATAGTGAGATGGCATGGTAAATTCATAACGGATGGTTACTTATGCCCAGCTAAAAGAACGGGACGCCCCTCAACTTCAGAAGATGTGATTGAATAAGTTCGAACTGCTTTCCAGCCGAGCCCCCGTAAATCGATCAGAAGAGCCAGTAGGGAACACACCATGCGATTTCTTGTTGTGGGGATTTGTGAAAGGATTGGTCTATGTGCCCCCTATTTCAAGAGACGTGGATGAGCTGAAGGCACAAATAACAGAAGCTGTTGTAACCATTGACAATGCAATGCTGGGACGCGTTTGGCAAGAATTTGACTATCGGCTTGATGTGTGTCGTGTGACCAACGGTGCTCACATTGAACATCTTTGAACATTCCATGTAAAAATTGAGATTTCAAGATTTCTGAATTTACCAGATGCGTTTTTATATCCTTCATAGTTTCTGAGATATTCAATGTCAAAATGTGCCCAAGACTTTTGGAACACCCTGTATAACTGTCGGGCATTCTGCTGATAGTCTTGTCTTGTGTTTTGTTTTTGTCATGTAGCTAACTAAGGTGGCTAATACGCTCTTAAGATATCACAATTATGACAGTGCAAAACTACACCTATTATAATAAATATACTGTATTGTTAAATGAATACCTCATTAAAATGTCAATCTAAATTAAGCATTTTTTAAATAAAGGCACGAACTTAGAATTCATTATATTGTGCAAGTGGATCAAAATGCTGTGATCAGTTCTGACACTGTCTCAGTTAGTTGACCAAAAAAGGTGTGCCATTCATTGCACATGGGCAAATACACATTCATGAGTAGTTGTAGCTTTGTGTTAGACATTATATTCAGTATTGAAAATAGGGAAAAGCACTGAGTATTTGTCATGGCCAAATGACACACGTAAAACCTCTTATGCTGTTTGACAATACGTCTGATTAGCGGATGTTCTGAGCTGAATCCTCCTCAGTCAACCAACCAGATAAATGACATGATTATATGCAAAGAGGAAATGTGACTGAAATATATCTCAAAATCTAGCACTGCATTCACTGTTGCTCTTTATTACAACCCTCAGGTGTGTGTGAGAGTACAGCATGCAGACTGTCCAAGAAGGGACTTGGCACCCTCCGCACAAGTCTAATCATGTGTCAGGACCCAGGCCTCGACCACCTTCCAGCTCGCGCCTTGCCTCTGTGGAGACAGCTACGCCAGCTAAGAGGATCACCTTCTACAGAAGTGGGGACAGCCAGTTTGGTGGTGTCAGGATGGCCATCCACAAGCGCAGCTTCAAATGCTTTGATGCCCTGCTGGATGACCTTTCACAAAAGGTTAGTAGGACGAGTGGCAGGTATCAAAACGCGGACCACAGGATTACCTTTGTTCCAAAGCAGCGGCATTAGTTATGCAAAACATTACCTTTTTTTCACTTTTATTTATTTCACCATGGATTGAGTACTGCTGAGTCTATTTCAACCTTCCGGAAGGACCAACCGATAACGAGAGTGCAGACCTCCACTGCCCACCGCTTCATAAAGTTTCATAAAAGTGTTTTTTGTTAAGTCCTGCTAACAAGTGGTAATAACTGACTTCACAGAAGTGGTGATAACTGCTCGAGCCAACATGAATACATATTTTATCTCTGTGTAGATGCCCCTTCCATTTGGTGTGCGGACTGTGACCACCCCCCGCGGCACACACGTTATCAAACATCTGGAGGACCTCCAGGATGGGGGCTGTTACCTCTGCTCTGACCGGCGCCAGCCAAAACCAATCAACATGGAGCATGCCAATAAAGCCCGAAGCATTTGGCACCATCACGGCCGCAAAACCGCTCAACCAGAAACCTTGCCCACGTCCTCATCTGGCCTTCTACCTCACAGACATCGACGGATCCTTCTGATTAAAAACACCGAGCCAGGGATGCGGAGGAGTGTGGTCCTGAACAGGAGTTCAATCCGAAGTATGAGGGCCTTTCTTGAGGAGGTGTCTGAGGTGATGCAGTTCCATGTCCGAAAAATTTATAGTGCAGAGGGACGCAGGGTGAGAAATTATTTTTACTTTCATACTTGAACAGCACTCATTAATTAGTTCCTTAGATGACCACGTCCTGCCTTTTGATAAAATTATCCAGGTTGATACATTATAAATGGAGAAAATGATAAACAGCATTAACTAAAGGCAAAGTCACCCAGAATCGCCACATGTAAATTTATTTTGTATAACTGTGCATGTAGACAAACAGAAGTTGCATTTTAACTAATGATTTAAATTTTGGAGTAGACTAAAAACTGTATGTGTCCCTAGGTTGACAACGTTCAAAGTCTGATCACCTGCCCTGGAGTTTTGGTGTGTGTCGGCAGAGAGGCCCTCAGTCCCTTGCTGATGAAGATCCTGCGGAAGAGCTCAGAGGAAAAACTGCCAGGTTTGAGCAACAAGTCTCCCGGGCTTGGTCCCAGGACTCCTGGAAATGGGGCTCGATCCCCTGGTATTCGAGAAGCAAGATCACCCCCGCATGGAGCTCAGTCCAGAGCCAGTGAGTGCAGTGAGGGACAGGAAAGCAGGAAAAGTGGTAGGCTATCAGTCATTGACACATACAGTATGTGAAGACCCATAAATCTACAACAAAGAGCTAATTCCTGTTTGATTTTTCACTCTGATTTCAGTTAACTTTGGTCTGGAAACAAAAAAGAGCATCATACACCCTCGTTCTGATTCATCTACCCGCTCCACTCGATTGTCTTTGTCCTCAGAGAAGTCCTTTGGCAACGGTATAAGAGCACACTCGCAACAGAGACCGGCTATTGTGAATGATGATATTGAAAAGCGTGTCCTAGTCAACAAGGATGGCAGTCTCTCTGTGGAGATGAGGGTGCGTTTTCGCCTGCGCAATGATGAGACCTTGCAGTGGTCCACAGAGATTGGAAAATCGCACTCTTTGACAAGTGACTACTGCCCTCCAAGCCATGCCCACCCCCCGTACTTACAAAACTGTCAATCCGAAAGCTACTCTGATTGTGCAACTGTTGACACAGATTATATGGACTACTCCAGTCATGCATTGCAAGTGAGCCAGTGCCACTGCTGCTACCAAATGCAAGAACAGCAGTACAACCTATGGGAAAATCCAATACACAGTCATAAGCAGCCACCTGTCCCACCCCCATATATGTCGAGCCAAACCCACACTACAGTAAGACACACACATTCCTCTGGCTCTTCGTCATCTTGTAACTCGATGAGAGTGGTGCGTTGCCAGGCAAAACTCTCCAACTGTGGAAGAGGTTCGGATTCAGAGCATAGCCAACTTGTCCAAGAGGAAACCTGTGTCGTGGAACAAGTAGAGCGTAGATTAGACATGGGGGAAATTGAAGACACTAACTTAGAGGTGTGTATGATGAGTAGGTGCTCCAGTCGCAGTGAAGTGGTCACCCTGAATGGCAATGCACGATCTCCTAGCGAGAGGTCGGTTGTGGATAAGCCGATGGAAGAAGAGGTGGGTCAACCACTGTCCAGAGTCAGCAGCTCATCGCATGTACTGCAGTCATTAAAAGAAGACCAAGATGTTGATGATGACCTGCCACCGAGCGCTTCACAATGCTCCCACAGAACTGGGCCATCCCCGAAAGCTCCATTGAACAACAATCAGCCAATCAACCTCTCGAGTGAGCTCAACGAGCCAGACGACCAGAAGAATCAAGCAAATGGAACAGCATCTGCTGCCACCTCATGTATGTGTGTATCTGAGATGAAAGATCAAACTCTCAGATTCAGCTCAAATGTAAGTAGAGCTTCTTGTATCTCCACCAAAGTTGTGAACCAAGCACACGAGAGTGAAGAGATAATAAGCATTGTTAAAGCTTCATCTGGCATCTCAGGCCTGTCTCGGATGTCAAGTGTGTGTCCTCACTGTGGGGGCTACAAATGGGCAGTCACCTCCAATCGCAGTAGTAGAGCTTCAGGGAGATCATGTCACACTGCTCAAGCCCATTCAAACCCGCATTCACCTATCCAAAACCAAGAGAGTACAAATGACTGTATGAACGATGATGCTTTGTCTACCCAATCCAATAAATCCAATCTCACAGGACAGACATCTGCCATCGCCGATGTCCTGAAAAGTGAAACATCCAGTGCCATTTCTAGGATGTCCAGTCCTGAGCCAACAAGAAAGCAAGAAAGAGTCAGCTCGACTTTAAGCCACAAATCCAACACAACACAGAAATCTGTTTGTACTAGTGCCACAAGTGAAAATAACATAAAGAGAAGCTCCAGTGCTATGTCAGGTCAGTCCAACAAGTCTCACAAGTCCAACTTGAATGGCACCGTTGAAGGTTCCAGTGTCACAACAACAGAGAGAGCAGAGGGAGGAACCTTGTACAAACAAGACGCAAAATCTTGTATCTCTGACAATGCAACTTTGGAAGACAGTCGATCTTGTAGCCATCCTTCTGTAAATTCCAATGTTTCTATCAACTCTGGCACGGAAGACAGATCCAATAGTGTCCTCTCAACTACATCATCAAAGTCAAATATTTCAGGAAAGTCCAAAATATCATGCCACAAGTCCACCAACAGTCAGTGGGCAATAGATGAGACAGTGGCGATCGAACCAAATGAAACGGAGGAAGAAACAGATATGTGCCTGGAAAATCCAGACATTGAAGGCAACAAGCAAGACTGTCATACAGCTGAAGAAAGTGCGTCCAATGCTTTGTCTGCAAAATCAACAACCTCTTGTTGTGCAACCTGTGTCTCAAACTGCACCGCAGATTCTCCCAATCTAAAGGAATCCGATGTTTCCTCGATTGAAGTGAATGGAAATAGGTCAAATGAGGATAAAGAGCGGGGAACCAGCCCCATATCTATAAAGTCAAAATCTTCATTGAGCCCATCTCCCTCTCAGAAGTCAGTTTCTACCAAGACTCTAAAATCAACATCCCAAAAACCAAATGTGGTCACCATTGAAACTCCACAAGGGGTAGATGAGTTAAGTGATGTAAGAGAGCCAGCACCAAAAACTGTTGACGGTGAAGAGGTGGAAGAAAGAAATTCCCAAAGTAAAACCTCTGAACACTCTTATGGTCAAATGTTGTCACCAAAGCGAATACGCTCATCCCGGTCCCATTTGCAGAAAGTTCGAGCTGCATCACCTGGCAGTTCTAATGATATAGCTTCTTCCAAATCTGGAAGTTTTAAATGCCAATGTGTCGTAGCTTCAGCATTTGAAGAGGCGGAGGCGAGGCAGAAGAAAAAGGAGGCGGGGGAGGAAAATGAAGCAATGAAACAGCAAGACAAAATGGAACTAAATGAAGTGGAGGACTCAAGAGGCACAGATCAACTCAGTCAACATTCATCTGGGTCAGTGTCTCTTGGGTTGCCAGATGATCAGGAAATGTGTGACACAGACAGCTGCAAGTCCTGCATTTCATTTCACGCTGCCAATCACAACAATGGTGTGAGGGCAGCAACTCCAAATGTCCAGTCAATATCGTCTCAAAATTCCAAAGTCAATGAGAGTCCCAGAGCAGTCGATATTCCTACCATTGATGCACCTGAACCTGATGGGGATGTTGACAACCACCCAAAGGAAAATATTTGTGCCAGCCCAGCCTCAAGCTCCAACACTAAAAGAATCACTGACAAAAGGACCTCATCTTCGCTGTCATCAGTTAGTGCCAATGTTAAAAATTCTAAGCTTGCTCAACAACCTGATGGAGATGTGACAACTGTTGATTCTGACAAGAGTAGCTCCAAAAAGTCAGCAAGTAGAGCCAAAGAAAAAGACAAAAGCCTCATCAACAAGGCAGCTAATGCACACTCCAGTGGACTCTGTTCCCTCGCATGTGACTTGGCAGCTGATGCAAATGTAAATGGCTCGAAGCAGAGTAAAGGAGAAGGCACTGTCGAAGCATCTGACGGTGGCAGCATCCAATCTGTCAAAACATCGAGTTCTACAAAGAAAGGCATCTCAGTCAGGTCCTCAAGGCATAGCAACTCCAGAGCTTGCACTAAAGAGACACATGGTGAAAGCACCGTGTCTGCTGCTGACCTTCTCAAGGGCACTCAGGCCGCACATCAACACTGTCAGCAGTCAAGTAAAGCAAGCAAAGCCAGCAGCAAACAGCATTTAGAGAAAAACAAAAGGCATCAGAAGGATCAGGGTGAGGGGGTAGAAGTGACCCCTGCTTGTCTACCCAATGCATCCCCCAGTGAAGTGGTCAGTGATTGGTTGCGCAGCATTCCTTCTAACAGCAACATGATCGCTCTTGATGAGCTCATTGAGGATGTGCATGGTAAGGAAGTGATGGTTAAAGCTGAAGCAGAAGTAACAGAGTCTAAGGAAGAACATCATGAGGAAGATAAGTCAGACAAGATGGAGAAAGAAGTTGGGGGTGACCAGAAAGAAGAAGAAGGATGTGCTGCAGTGAATGAAGAAGAAAATTCGGATCTGGCGACAGGTGTCGGTGCAGTAAAAGCGTCTCACCAGCTCAACTCTGCATGGATTAGTGGAAAGGCATTACCCAAGGACTGGCGCTCTTCAGCTGCAGTGATGAAGGTTCTTCTCAGCTCCTCTCTGGGACGATGTAGAAGCTTGCCTGAGGTACAGTAGGATACATAAAACAAAATATGATTTTGTCTGGAGTGTATCGCGCATTTTTCTGTTTATGCAACAAGCAAATACAAGAAGTAATATACATTCTCAGAACTTCTTGTGCTTCACAGGTGTCTCCAGTTTATGGCCGCAGACTCAGCACATCAGCCAGGGGCCTCCTGGACTGTTTGGCCCAGCTTCAGCTAATTGAGCCTGTCAGAAGTCAGAGCTGCAACAAACATGAGGACAGAAACCCCCAGTACAGTGACATTATAGCCATTCTCCAATCCCTTTGGCTCACTGAACCTAGGGACATTGAGCCCAAGGACACTGGTATCGAACAAGCGACCCCACCAAGGTCCTCATCAGGGGTAGGCATGAGCAGTGGATCTGGTGGCTCGGGAAAGGACCAAGACAATCAAGTAGGAGATGAAACCCTCCCCAAAGAGTCTTCACATGATGATGAGGCTGAGGAGAGGGTTTCAGAGGAGAGAATAGAACCACACACCCTAGAAATTAAGGCTGAGGTAGAACAACCTTGGCAGAGCGAGAACCAAAGTGAAGTCCCCGCAATTCTGCAAAGTCTGAAAGATGCAAACCCGTCATCATTTGACAAAAGCTCTGCCAATAATAGCTCCAACTCCAGCACAACCACACCACCAACTGTTTTGCAAACATCATTGTCAAATAAACCATCCCAAGATCCCGATCCAGTATGGGTCTTGCACCTTCTTCAGAAGCTGGAGAAGGAATTCATGAACCACTACATTGATGCCATGGCAGAGTTTAAAGTCCGTTGGGATCTTGATGACAGCCGCACCTTGGACACGATGATCGCAGAGCTGAGGGATGAGGTTAGCCAACGAATCCAGAGCAGCATTAAACGGGAAATGAGTAAGATCCACAGTCGATCTGGTCGACGCGGGAAGTCACCACGGCCTCCAAAGGGAGCAAATCTATCCAGGGATTCCACCATGACGGAGAAACGACGACGGATGCTCAAGGTAAATCCAACAAAATTCAACTTTCCATTAATGCAAATCAAACTCACTGTATGAAGCAGATTTTCAGATTACCATGTGGCCAACATACAAAAAAAGTATATATCTGCTCTGCTACCTGTTGGTAAGACCACATCCGTGTCTCATATATATTATACTCAATCGCCTATATAATCGCAACAGATAATTATAAATTGTAAATTCTGCTGTAGTCATACTTGTTTTTTTTTTTGTTTTTTTATTGATCCTATCAGAAAGGTTTTGCATTATTGCAACATTAGATAATGCAAGTGGTTGCTGTTGCCAGTAGCCATATATTCATCTTCTGAACTGGTTGATGTGGTATTGTATTGTTTAATTGTCAGGTCATGAAGAACCAGTCTGTCAAAACTGCCGATTCCTTCAGCGATAGCGAGATGACAGCCGCGTTCAGCGACCAACGAAGTGATGACGAATACTGTCCCTGTGATGCTTGCGTTCGCAAAAAAATGGCAACACGGCCTCTCAAAATGAACCCGGCAGCAGCTGAAGCTCCTGTGATGATGGAGTTTGATCTCCTTAAAATTCTTCAACTCAGGAAGACCCCAGCACCTGTCCCTACATCTGCGCCACAGCTTAGTGATAGGGGCAATGGCAGTGTTGTCGTAGAAGAGGAAGTAAGGAGTTTAGAGGTTGTACAGGAGGAAGAGGAGGACAACGAATCAAGCGACGAGTTCAAAACTGAGGAGACAGTTCCTGATGAGGATGAGGAGGATCCCATTGAAGAGGTGAAACATGAGGGCCATGAAGGTGAATATGATGAAGAAACAGGGAACAGGGAAGCCCGGGACTCACAGACCAGTGTTGAGAAAGAGTGCACAAGGGAAGAAACACCAGAGAAGGCTGACAAAACAATTGATAACATGGAAGGAGAAAGGGACGAGGATATTGAAGATGACACCAAGACAGGCAAAGAAGGTGTTGGAACAAAATATAATGAAGAGAAGGGCGAGAGCACCCAGGCAGATGGAGGAGAGAGCACTGAAAGAAGTAAAGATGGAGTGGATGCAGAGGAGGATGATTGCACAGTGGACTCTCCAAATCAAGATCTTGAAGAATCTACACATTTGGAGGATCAAGGAACCACTAATACTTCAGCCGGAGAAGATGATGATGATGTGGAGGACGAGGAGAAGAATCACATTCGAGGTTCTCAAGAAGAAGGCGCGTCGTTGCAGCAAGAAAGAGCCTCACCAAAGGTCAGGACACACTGGACATTTAAATAGAGAATAAACAAAAACACGCGTCTCAAATACAATATCATCTATGACAGGGGTGTCAAACACATTTTTGTCACGGGCCACATTTTAGTTCCCGTTTCCCTTGGAGGGCCGTTATGACTGAAACCATATAAAGAAGTCAAGAATAACGGTTTATTGTTAAAGTTAATATAATGAGGGATTTGGTAACAAGAAAATGCAGATCTGGCCCTGGGCTTTGAGTTTGACACCTGTGATCAAAACCGTATTCATAAGTTAACATTTAAGTTCAATATATACAGGTGAACATTTTTTAAAAGGAAAGTCTTCTCATTGTTGCAGAGTACAGACCAGCATGAATTAGATCATTGCCTCCTGTTGTAACATTTTTCGCAACATGTTTTGTATTTGTACCCAAGTGGGTTTATATGGACAAAAACAGCGGAGCACCAAAATAAAGGTGACCTACCAGGAAAATTACACTACTGTCTCTTACTCTCTGATCCTTTAAAGGAGACATCATGCATCCCAGGTGTCTTAATAACATGCCTGCAGCATGTTTCAAACAAAAAAACTGCGAAATGCATAGAAGTCCCTTAAAATGCTGGCTTTTAAACTCGTGGAGCCAGCACTTCATCACTTTTTAATTTGTGTGCTGATCCATCCCTAGACAGGGAGCAGGCAGGAACAGCAAGTTCGATTGAAGTCCAAAATGATTTGCCTCAGGGTCTGCTATGTGAATATAACCGTGCTGTTTGTGAGCATGACCAAGGGGTTCAAGTCTACCTCAAAAGGAATGTGACCCAGTACAGTCTAAATGCTAATTCCAAGACAGCAGGTGAAGCTAATCTCACTATCCAATTAGACAGACTGAACAAATCTGCTTTGTTTCACAGCAACGACTCGCCTCCATGCTAGAGGTATGACTTGCAACTTTTCTTTTCTTGATGTCACAGTCGTCTACTAACTGCCACAGCCCAGTAGCAAAATAATGAGAAACATACAGTACAGTTGAAAAGTATTTGACCTCTTCTTAAATTCATTTTTTTCCACAGTTTCCCCACTTTAATGTTTAACATCATCAATCAGATGTAAATATCAGACACCAATAACCAAAGGAAACATAAAATGCCGTTTTTTAAATTGTGATTTTATTTAAGGGGGCGGGCCAATTCAGAAAGCTACCCGACCGTGTCAAAAATTACTTGTCTCCCTTGTTAAATGATGAATATAGTGTGGGTAATCATAGTTTTTGGAAAGATGAGTCATTTTCACTGACCACACTCAAAGCCGATAACGTGCAATCCTGTTCAGTCAAGAAATCACTAAAATAGAATCTTTCTGACAAAATGAAGTCACCCAAAAGGTCTCCAAAAACTGCAACAAAATACCACAATACAAAGAAATTCAGATGAGGAATAAGGTCAGAAAAATTTTACAGTCTGGAAAGATTTACAAAGCCATTCCCAAAGCTGTCGAACTCCAATGAACCGCAGTGGAGAAAACATGGAACATTGGTGAACAGCCTGTCTGTAAAAATTACCCCAAAGAATACAGTGACGACTCATATTGGAGGTCACTAAGAAACCCAGGAAAAAATTAACTGCAGGCCTCCGTCGCCTCAGTTAAGGTCTTTTTCACGGCATTGTATCAGTCTTCCTTGATGCAAGTAGAGAGAAGTGGTATAGTGCAGGGGTCCCCAACTGCCGGTCCGCGGACCGGTACCGGTCCGCCGGGCATTTGGTACCGGGCCGCACAGAAAGAACTTGCCTTAATTCCGTTTTATTTATTTCGGAATACGAAAGATGTTTTATTTTGAAAAACTACCGGATTCTCCGTTACATCCGTCTGTGTTACACTTGACACACGTCAAGCCACGCTTCTCCATCACGTGACCGATTACTTCAAAACAAAACGCGGGAGCTCGCAAAATGAGTAAAGAAAACCGCTGGAGATCGCAAATGACGGCGGCCTTAAAAGTACGTTCGAGACAACTGGATTAAAGTTATGGCTGAATACTCTGAGATCGCCACAATAGCACTGTTGCTATTTCCGACATCCTACCTGTGTGAGGCGGGGGGGTTCTGCAGCAACGGCGACGAAAACAAAATTACGAAGTAGATTGGACATAAACCACACACTTGAGGTGTCATTGTCTCCTATTACCACGAGATGGGACCGTCTGGTGCTGTGGTGAGTCCTCATTTTCATGCACTTTGAATTTGCGTTGTATCGTATTTTGAAGGCATTAAACATTGCCATAGCGATCGGAGTGTTGCGGCCAGATTAGACGCTCCTTGTGTTTATTATTATATTTCGAAAACGCCACAGTTTTCATGCAGCTCATACCATATTATTTTGTTGTATTATTTCCGCCACACCTTAAATGCCGGTCCCTGAAAATATTGTCTGACATAAACTGGTCCGTGGGGCGAAAAAGGTTGGGGGCCCCTGGTATAGTGTGAGCAAAGCATTATATAAGTGTACTTGCCTTCTCTTACCATAATTAACTTAGCTCATGCTTGTGGAAGTTCGATGTCGAATTTGTTCACAGTCAGCACCCACTATTCACGGAGCACATGGACCGAGCCCTTCTGCAAGTAGCAAAAATCCACAATAAGGTTTTGTAATGGCCACAAAAAATGTCACAAATCCTTTTTTTCGATAAGGTCAGGCCTTGGCCCGATTAAATAAAACTCCTTCTCTCAACTCGACATAGTTGCTTGACTCAAGGATTCCACAAGATGCAAATATGAATTATGCAAAATGTGTATATTAGACATGGCTTTGTCTTGAGCACAGACACAGCGAGTAGGTGAGTTAGGTTGTTCAAAAATCTGCAAATCCAACACCGAACTGAAAATATGCAGGGGTTAACTGTATGTTGAAATTTACATCTCTCTCTCTCCCTCTCTCTCTCTCTCTCTCTCTCTTTATATATATATATATATATATAGGATCTTAGTTCAACTGGTGATGTCTGCGTGACCAAAGACGAGGAGGCTGATGCCAAAGACTCCGAAACTGACGCTAACCGTCCGAGTGACACCGGGGTAGGTGATTCAGGAAACAAGGAGGAGACAGAGGAGGTGGAAGGAGGTGCAACTGTGTTGCATCAGATCACCAGGACCTCAGTGGAGTCCTTGTTGGGTTCCTTGGAAGACTGAGAGCCCCGCTTCCACCTGAAACACTGAACATGAAATAAGGGAGGGAGTCTCATTCACAAATTGATTTGAAGTCGACGCAGCAAAACACTTGATGCACTTTATTTCTCTGCTGTTGGGAGTCTGACATGAAACTTGAAACTACAATCTAGCCTACAGTCTTTAATTCTACTCATTTATTTGTACATTTTGAAGTTGTATTTCTAAGAAATGTAGAATTAGTGTTACATGAGTCATGTTTTACTTTTTTTTGTATTTAATATGTTAAATCCGTGCTGATTTGGCAGACTTCTCGATAGAGTTGGTAGTTTTTATTTATTATTTTTGAATTTATATTCTGTGATTTATTTCTCTGCATCACTGACGAGTTGGTTCCAGAACTAGCTTCTCAAATGTAAAAATATGACGCACTCAAGATTATGAGTTTAAATTCATTATTTGAAATGGATTGGAGACATTCAACAAAGTATAGTTATTTACTTTGATCTTGAGTCACACAGATGTTTCTAAGCTGTTTGAAACTGTTAGAAGCCTTAATAAAGTGTCAGCGCCTTGAGGCCAGGATCATATATTATCAAAACTGTCACGTTACTGGAGGTCCTTTTCCGGTTAATATCATACATCATATGTATTATAATTAGGCACAAAAATGTATCAGATACAGTGTGTGTGTGTGTGTGTGTGTGTGTGTGTGTGTGTGTGTGTGTGTGTGTGTGTGTGTGTGTGTGTGTATAGCAGCAGTGTGGACCAGCAGTGTGACATGTGTTACCGATGACTGATGCCTTACCTTAGCCATGGTTATATAGTACGAGTGTGGATCCATAGAACCGAGGCCATGCTCAGGTGGATCGTCTCCATGCTAGCTTTGCAGAGACGTTCTGTATGTGGCTCGGCGTCTGAGCTTGAAGAGGGGGTCAGAAGAGTCGGCTGCTGGCGTACCCATCGGTTTGCCCAAAATACCTAAAGTGAGGACGCCTGAATATTATATCAACCCTTTCATGCACCATCTAACCTGATAACACAATACACTGTCCACTGTAGTAACCGCTGTCCCCGAAAGGGTTAATGCAACAAAAAACACTCCACAATATGTTACATTTTTCTTAATTTCAACAAAAACAAAACGATTTCAATGCTCAACTTCTAAAGGATCTTGGAATAATACTGTATAATGTATCTTGCTTGCACTGGTATACACTTGTGCTGCTGTCATGAACAGTTCGAAAGGGCAGGCTTTTGATTAATGGTGTGTCATGGGCTGTAAAAAGCCACTCTAAAATGTGCAGTTTCATCATACAGCACACTGCTTTAGATTTTGAAGGGAACATGCATTTGACAGTCTGACCCATCAGGAAAGTAAACCCAAACTGTTGCGCTAGAATCGAATAGATTTTTTATAAGCTGTCTCCAAAGCCGTGTCACAGAATGCAGCATCCAACTGGCCTCACAACCGAGACCTGCACATCCAGCACCTCTGTGTCTCAGACAAGCCACCTGAACTGTTGCTGCAACAAATGTTTTTGTAACCAAATGATTTCTGATCCGCTGCAGGGAAGCTCATTGCCATGCGTGTCCTCATCGCGAGGACACCTGACTGCAGGTCGTTGTCGTAACTGGCTCAAGTGGTCAAATGCTCACATTTGATGGCATCTGGCACATTGGGGTGTCATTCACTTCACGGATTAATTCCGGTTTTCTCTGAACAGGTCAGATGGCAGGCAGTGTATATGGCGTTAAGTGGGTGAGCGTTTTGCTGATGTCACAGGTTTGGATGAAGTGGCCCGTGGCCGCGCTGGGGTTAAGGTATCGGCAGGCGTAGTGTTATGGACAACGAACACATGTACCTTTTATTGAGGGCATTTTGAATGCAGAGATACAGTGATGGGATCCTGAACACTCCACTTCCTGTATGCTCGGCATATTCACCAGACATGTCAACCGTTAAGCATGTTTGGGATGATCTAGTTTGGCACATAAAGCAAAATGTTCCAGTTCCTGCCACTATCTGTCAGCTTTGCAAAGTGATCGAAGAGGAGTGGCTCAACATACCGTGGACCACAATCAACATGCTGGTCAACTTCATGCGAAGGAAATGATGCATGTGTTGCTTCAGGTAAATTGAGGTCACGCCACTGATTTACTGGTTTTGATATCAACCAAGTCAGACGTGTTTAGACGTTGAGGCATAAGAAAGATGCTAAATATAGTGGCGTTTGACTGACATTTGACGGTTGAGTGGGCCGGGTTTCAACACATTTAGTGGACTCCTCTGTGGCATGACAAATTTACAAGACATTTGTTTTCACTTTACAGGGACGGGCATCACGAAATACGAACCATGCTAGCTGTCTGTTTGCAAATATTAATGGTGCTGCACTATTGGGAGCTGCACACACTTCTCAGCCTACTTGATCAAATGTGACTGCATAAACAAGTTACCACACAGTTCTAGATGAGGTCAATCGCACTTAGCTCTTCTGACACAGTCTTATAGCTAATTATTGGAATTTTGCTGATCTGGAAGCTAAGGTGTGGTGAAAAAAATTGACATGCTAAAAAAAATGCAATTTTGGAATCAGCATGCATTTTAGTTTTAATCAGCATAAAAATCTAACTGAACAGATCCCCCCCCCCCAAAAAAAAATGTTCCCCGGCATTAGCATTACAGGTGTCTTCAAACTTGTAATCAGTCAGTAAGCCAATTTAAAGGGAGACATTAGTCACTGACCTGTACCACGCTAAACATAGACCACAGGAGAGTTGTCTCGGAAGATTAGAAAGAAAATAACATGACAAACACACTATGGGTAAAGGCTACAAGACTATCATATACAATGCAATACAATACATCTGTATGATAATGATCCGCGCTGAAGCACAGTAGATCTGAATACCCATTCAAATGTTTCAATGTATGCGGATAAAGCACAGAAAAAAAAAAAACAATCAAAAACATTAAATCCATTTGAGGTGCATAAAGATAAGCTAAAAAAATAGATGACAAAATGAGAGTCCTCATCTTCATTGGTACAAATTTATGGACAGAAAAATGTCTCCTGTAAGTTGTTACAGAATATTATATCTTGGACATGAGTGCCTCCACAGCCTTCCGTATGATTGGCTGCAAATCCAGGCGAGAACTCGCATCCTCGAGAGAGCAACCAGTCAGCAGTGAGACCAAGGTCAGAGGCACTACCTGCTCACAAGAAAGGGAGGAAGTACACCACGCGACAGTCATCTTGTCTACCGTTATTCATTTACCTTTGTCCTTTCTCTGCCCTTGGCTATGTGTGTGGCCATGTGACCGGAGGTCATGTCCTCAGTCAGGTGGTCCACCTGGTAGATAGCCTTCAAGAGAGCCTCCTCACACTGGGCCTCGGGATGACCAGACAATTTCTAGTGCAAGACGTTGGGGCCATTACTGTTGTCGCATATACTCAAACCAGAGCTGTACTGATAATTAAACTGAGCAATTTCTTTTGTATACTAAGGTTACAATGACTCACATTAGGTTCTCACTTAACTCAACTCTGTTTTTTGAGAACTGCTCTTGTCACCATTTTTGCAGGGCTGGATGCCTTTTTTAATGTCATCATTTGTATATTAAACATTAACGATATGACCACAAATGTTCCAATACATTATATTTTACAACCTTTAAATGTTTGAATATTTGCAAAAGGCTCATTGTGGCACCAAAAAACCCCCAATAAGTTATTCCATTAATTCCAATTCATAACAAAAAGAAACTGTCCCCGAAACATTAGAAGCTTATCTTACGGCCCTTGTGCTCAGCAGTCATTTAATAATATTCTTCCTTGTTTTTTTGTCTTTGGGGAATTCGGGCCGACTACATGAAGCCAGTTGCTATTACATAGCTTTCGCATCAGGAGCGTAAAATCATATCGTCCTTGATGTGTGAACACAGCAGTTGCTGCAACAGTGACTGATGGGTAATTGGCCAAATGATCATTTCCTCCTACAACCATTCAATGTGACTGACCCGCTATTCTATTTACAGAGTCAGGGGTCTGTGGGAATTCTGGACAGCTGTTTTTTTTCCCCCCTTCTGAAATAGTCCATGGGCTTCTAACGCCCTCTGGGCCTTGGTGCATTTTGCACCAGTTGCACCGTGATTTTTGCACGCCACTGGCTGAATATGAATGCATGACACAGTGAACACAGAAAACACTCTGGAGCTGCTCACGCTCGCATTCGGAGTACCAATTTGAAGCAAATCAAATGACTCGCTTCAGGACCAAAACTAGTCTGTCAACATTGGACAACCTTGCAAATTCACATGCAAAGTGGATTACTGAGAACAGTGGAGGCCACAATTCGTGGTAGAAGATAAAGGGTTAGAAAATGTGATACAGAGTGATGCATGCCAATTTTTCCACTGTCATGCAGAAACCATTTACTGGCAATATTGTTTGGAAAAAAAGTCCTATAATTGCATTTAAATGTTGTTCTGTTCAGTTCTGGCCGATGATTTTTACTATTTTTCTTCGGGCTGTTTTTGAAATTAAATGCATTTTTACAGAGTTAAAGATATTTGTGTCTATTATTTTAATAAGTCGCTGATGGTCCACTCGCCTGACTTGTATGCGGGCAGAGTGGGGTCGGTTCCCACTCTGTGACAGTGTGGATGTGGGTGTGAATGGTCATTTGTCTCGATATGAGCTCTGTGACTGACTGGCGACCAGTTCGGGGTGTAGTCCGTTTTCCGCCGAAGTCAACTTGGGATAGGCTCCAGCACCTTCCCGTGACCCTCTTCAGGAAAAGCGGTGTTGAAAATGGATGGATGGATATTTTATTCATTTGTCCACTAAGTTCCATTTAAATTAAGAATGTTTGCCTTTTAGGACAAACAATGTTTGAAGAAATAAAATGCATTTAATCAGGATTTATTAAATTCGAAGCCAGTAAATAATTACATTTTTTTAAATTGAGTCCCAACCCCAGTAAATACATGAAAAAAAACTTGACAAAATAAGTGTACACCTTAACCAGACTCACAGTAATTTGATCTTCATTAAGCATGTTAATGTGCGATTGTTGATGCAATTTGATACCTGGATTAAACGTGTGGCTCGGCGGTAAAGTTTGCTGTTGGTGACTTGCACGTCGATCATGTAGTTGTGGAAAACCTTGCCCTTCAGGATGTGCGCTCCCGTGCTCACAGCGTTCAGCACCAATTTGGTGGACAGCTCCCACTGCCGCACAACAGAAGAGTGAGTGAGTGAGTGAGTGAGTGAGTGAGTGAGTGAGTGAGTGAGTGAGTGAGTGAGTGAGTGAGTGAGTGAGTGAGTGAGTGAGTGAGTGAGTGAGTGAGTGAGTGAGTGAGTGGGTGCGTGAGTGAGTACCATGTGCTGTAGACTTCCAGAAGAAGGTAATGGCCAAGAAAATGTTAACGTGGACATACACAATCTATTTATGTCATCCTGCAAAGAAAAAAAAAAGAACCGAATGGTGGATATTAAGGTAGAAAGATTGTTAAGGAATCATTTAAAGCTAGGGTAGGCAGGGCGGCAGGGAGGTACAGTATGTAGCCTGCTGTAGGTAGGTAGGTAGGCAGGCAGGCAGTACAGGTAGCATTAGTACTGGTAGAGTAGATTAGGTACATTGGGTAAATAGGTAAGGTTAGTAGGGTGCTTGATTGGCAAGTATTAGCAAGGAAAGGGATGTAAAAGTGTCGATGGGCAGCTCCGTTGGGTGATTGGTGGCTAGAAAAGTTAGGCAGGTGGGTAGTTTGGAAGGTAGGTCAATGGGTACAAAGATGGGTGAGTAGTTAAGTTGGTCTGTTGTTAGGTAGGATTGTAGGGTTACAGCTAGTCAGAAAAGTTGGACAGCTACACTGAAAAATGTTTTTTGGTTGAACTTACTCAATATGATTTTGTCAAGTGGTTGCGGGAAATATAGCACCATTTGGAAGCAGATAAATGTTTAAAGTCTACGATGTATGTACTTAAAACATGTATCTAAAGTCATTTTATTTTGTGCAACCGCCTGATAAAATAAAATTGAGTAAATTCAACACACCATTTTTTCAGTGCAGATAGGTAGAAAGCCAGACAGGATAGGTACAGTAGGCAATCATGTCAGTAGAAAAGTGGGTATACCTACACTTTAGATGACCACTATAGTGCAGTTTAAATTTGAAAAATGTGTGCCTCTTTTAGTTAAAGGGAACTAAGTTGCTTGAACTACATGAGGCTGTATTGTGCAGTGTAAGGTACGGTAAGCAGAGAGGAGCCTGGCAGGCAGCGAGATCTGTGGGCGGATACTGTATGGAGTGTATACTGTATGTCAGTAAATGCAATATTATGTAGGGTGGTAAACCAACTTGATCGTCATCATCTCCATCAGCCTGGTGATAAATAGCGTGGAGGTTAGACATCTTTTCCCTCACTCTGTAGGCAACATTCATCACTTCAGTGATATTGTCTGAGAAAAGAAGAAATCGGGATGTATGAAGAGAATGTGAGGCTAGCGACGGACCGCAGTCAAGCTCCGGCGTAGTCTCTCACCAGTTTGTGTGTAGATGAGAATGACAGTGTCTTGGTCATCGAGAGTGGGTAGGACATGAAGCAAAAAGTCTTCATGCGCAATGCAAAACTGGGGACCCTAAATCAAGAAAGTACAGAAATGTCTGTGATTATCCTCGTCAATGATGTGGCGTCATGACACTTCAGAATAAGATTTCATTGGAATTTGACTTAACAGGATTTCACGTCTTTTACGCCTTTGTAAAACTCACATCATTCCCATAGGCATGATGAAATGTTAAATCTCTCCAACCGTGTGATTTTCCTGCCACACGACATTACATTGTATTGGATTTACCTTTTGTTTATTTTTAAGACACTGGACAGTTTGACTCGAGGATTGGTACATCAATTTTGGACTATGCCATTCAATTGTGAGGAGGGGAAAGTGAATCCCGCAAAAATTGCCCCTCATATATACCAGCAAAGCAATGGAACCTTCAGCGTTGTTGAGCGCTCTGTATCCTCCACTTATGAAAGCTTGAATATCCCTGTAGGCTACGACACACACACACACACACACACACACACACACACACACACACACACACACACACACACACACACACACACAATAAAAAAAGACAATAAGTAGCATGCAGATTGTTTTCCAAAATCCAATGCATTGCAACACATTTATGATCGCCGTTATAATACTTGAGTGTGGCACTGCTGCTCACCTGCCCCAAACGTTGGCTCACATTCACTGGCATCAATGAGGCCCAGCACAGCCAGGCTGCCCCACCCCAGGTAACATACACGTTTCTTACAGAGTAAACTGTAACACAAACAAACATCCTGAATGCAGCCAGATATTTCTTATCATTTGGACATTCGCAGTTGTTTATGGTATTCAGAGAACAGTTGTGCTTGACTGACTTGACTGACCTCTGCCCAGCAGTAGTCACCAAAGCAGCTATGGCCGTACTCTGAGCATATGTGACCTTGACAGTTTTTTCATAAGCTTCCAGGTGTTGCAAGATGACCCTTATATGGAAAAAAGAAACAGAGACACAATCTTGTCAACACGTAAAAACAACAGTGATTCGCCATCATTTGGGTGCAATTTGAGATATTCAGACATGTCAAGGAAAATTGTTCAATGTCACAGTTGTATTGTTTGCTACCAATAATGCATATTTGTTCATCTGTGCAAGTGATATACATTGACAGGCGGAAGAGTAAAATACTCTCCTACTAGATAGGAATTAACCTGTGAGATCCACCTTTGCCACCCTGCTGTTTGGCGCTGTGTCCGTGAGATTTGTTATTTTATTCATACTTAATGGGTAAGGATTTAATAAAGGACGACACTGCCTAATATCTTGACCACTAGAGGTCAGTAACACAACAACAAATTGTTCCCACCTTTAATTTGATTCGAGAGATTTAATTCACAGATGGGACTGTATCCATTTTCCGGTGTGTATTTTTCGGTGGATGGCATGAACAATTCTCACGGTACAAACAGCCTCACCAAGAAGTCCTTCCCTCTCTTTCGTGACACCTTTCCATGAAACATTAAAGACGGGATAAAAATGGAAACGAAAACTAGAGCTAGTTGTTATAAAGAATGAACCAGAATGAGACTCTCACGACACTGCTTCAGGTAGCCACATCACTTGGTCCTATGAGGCTGCTTTAGGTCGCAGCCTAAAGGTCATGCTTTTGTCAAATTTCAATGATATGCCTGTCAGGATGTGTGATTAATGCACAGTACATTACACAACCCAAATGATGTCTTTTTGTTGTTGTTGTTGTTTTTTCTAACACTGCTTTAATTCTCAATTTCCTGTTTTGTGTGTTTTCTAGAATTTATTGACCCCTTATTTTTATGATTTTAACACATTACCCTTATTATCATGCTTCAAGGGGAAATTCAATTCACACTGTGTATTGTGTTGCACACTCCACAGAGATCACACGCATGCAGGCATGCAAGGAGAATTACCAGACTGAAGAGAGAGCAGTGTTGCGTCACTTGAGCACAGATTGTTTCAAATAATTTTTTTGTCCACGACTCGCTGTCTACAAGTCTCAAGTGCTTCCAGATGAGCTATGCTGCCCAATTATGTCATAGTTTAGTCCTTATCTCACTCACATTAGATCCACTCCTACTAGAATAATAGACCCAAGACAAGGGCTGCATTAAAAAAAAAGAGAGAGAAATTGGCCTTTACTAAATAGTGTGATTTAATTGACACTGGCACTAAGGTCACTTTAATATGTTTAGAACTGGGGTTGTAGTTTGTTGTGGCGCAGCAGCAAAGCAATGGCAGTGGCTTCACAGTCACTTACTGGTGTGTGGTGGCTGCACGTGAGAAAGCGGCAGCGTGAGCAGAACACAGGATCACCTCCAGGAGCATCTTAGTGGCGCTGCCTCCTTTCATCCTGGAAGAACCACTGATGGCCTCCGGCTAAACTCAAACATAAACAAGGCACAGGGGGAGCGCATGCACGTGCGCACGCACACACACACACACACACACACACACACACACACACACACACTAACTCCTCTAATTCTGAGAACGTGCTTAATTAATACCAGTGTCGACCCCTCACCCCAACTGATGGGTTGATGAGGAAGGCTTTTCGACTGTTGGCAAGCACCTGCATTCTTTGGACCACACTCAGGAAAGTGAACGTGCAGTTTGGTGTCGGCTCATTCCTGTACAGAGATTATGTCACAATCACACATAAAGATGTCCTACGACAAAGTTAGACAGTGCCCAGACACTGATGTGGTAAATCTTCATCAGGGAAGGCCAGAGCTGTAGCATGCATATGAGACTCAGCCTCACGCTTGTAACTAAATATGTTAATTAAATACCAGGAAAAACTCACAGTATGTTACAGTGCACTCTATACAATAACAAAATGAAAAATTATCAACATATTGTCAAAATATTACACCTCTGAAAGTGTCAAAACTTAGCATTGTCGTCTTTTGCAGAATTTCTGATACGACTCTCATATGGAATGTCATTTATAATATGACCAATGTGTGTGTAAAGAATACATACGCACCGTGCCTGATGTGCAGGGTTAAAACCAATTAAAACAGGAGTGAAAACCTCCGGGTGCCGCAGACAGAACTCCAACTGACCTGCTACAAATGGAGCCTACAGGTACCGGTACATCAATTACAAGCAAAAAAAAAAAAAAGTCTAAAATCAAGATATGTTAAACATTGTGATGGATGCTTTAAGAGTCATACTTACAGAGAGTCCACAGGAGATCCCGATGAACAAGACCCTCTTCTTCCCCTCACACACCTAATGGCATTAAAAAGAAAAAATGCAATGACTCCGTGTAAAAGCGGAAGACAGATACTTTGGAGAGATTTTCTGTCACACTCTTGACCTTCTTCAGACAGGACATGCCCAGGTGGGGGTCATCTTCTGGGGCCTCTTGGGAGGAAAACAGCGCTCTTAAAATATTAAAGATGTAAACAATGTGAGTGAGTGAGTGAGTGAGTGAGTGAGTGAGTGTGACACCCACCTGTTGCCTCCTGCAATGATGTATGCATAGGTGACACACACCTGTTGCCTCCTGCAATGATGTATGCATAGACCTCACTGTGGTTCATCTCCCTCAGTGCTCTGTTGAACCCTGACTACACACAAGCACACGAGTTTGAGGTAATATAATTCTTCCGTTGTGAAGTTCCAAAAATGAAATAGCACTTCCCTCAGAGGACATTAAATGCCAAATAAAAGAATCATCACAGTACAAAGTACCGGGTAGCTATTCTAAGATAGCATGCTAGTAGCTCTTGAGGAGAGGTGTCAAACTCCAATCCCTGGTGGCCAGAACGAGCATGCCACATCATTTTTTGTGGCCCACTAAAGCGAATAAAATGTGTCTACTTCATGTTTCCTGTTCAATTGAAATTATTTCCCTTTTGAGAAGAAAAAAGGTATCAAATGTAACTTCTCCTCAGTTTTTACACAAACATTATCACAGGCATCCTTCCTCAACGTACAGTACATTAATCAACAGCTACTGGTAGTTTAAAGCTAGTTTAAAAATCCAATCCCTTGTTAAATACATGTCATAAAATTGTGTGTCATATTCTGTGTGTAAATATTTCATTATATTGGAGTAATGACACTTTGCTGCAATGTAAAGTAACCAGTGGCTTGCATAACAGTGGTAAAGTTAATGTCTATACGGCTGGCAACAAAAGTGAGTTCACCCCAAACCTGAAGTGAAAATGAGTTTGAGAGCCCCACATCAAGGGACTATGATCTTAAGCGATGGACACAGGTTACTTCCTGGACTGGGGGACACATACAGTTGTGTATACAAAAATAACTGTCCACATTCGCAACTCAACTTTAATTGTCAAGTACTTTAGAACAACCACCACTCCAGACAAAGTGGTATACATGAAACAAAAAATTGTCAAAATACAGCACAGACTGTTAAAACAATACATTAATACTAACAGCCAAAGAATAAAAATGTCTTTTAAGGTGAGTTTTAAAGATAGGCAGAGAGTGTGTTTGCCTAATGTTCAGCGGGAGGTTATTCCAAAAAGAGGGACTGGCAACGGAAAAGGCTCATTCTGAACTCTGCTAAGTCCTCAGTACCACCAGTAGCAACTGGTCTGCTGACCTGAGATGGGTAGGTGCGTAGGGATGGAGGAGCTCAGAGGGGCAAAATCATTTCAAAATGTTTTAAAACAAATAAAATAATCTGGAAAAGAACTGTCAAATGGACCGAGAAACAGGGAAGAGATGCCAGAGTTGGAGTTATGTGCTCCCAATGAGCACCAGTTTCAAGGCAGACAGCAGCATTTTGGAGCAACTGGAGACGCTTGAGGGATGGTTGGCTGACTCCAAAAGAAAATGAATTACCGGAATCCAGCTGAGATGTACCAAAAGCATTGATTACTGTTTCACAGTGCTGTTGAGAAAAGGAGAGGATTTACCTTTGCCAGATGCCTAAGATGAAAGAAGCTGGATTTTACAACAGTGCCAATTTGACGCTCCAATTTAAAACCGCGGTCTAGTTTAAGACCCAAGTTCAAGACTGCTGGCTTTAGATAAGGCTCTAAGGGGCGAAGGTCAACAGGGTGAGATGAACAAGGGCCACGACGACCGAACACCATAACTTTTGTTTTCTTTTCATTGAAATTCAAGAAATTCATGGTCATCCAGGCATTGATTTCCTCCAGACAGGACAAAAGTGGCACAGCAAAGCGTCTTTTCCCTTTTCTTATCTTCAAATGCATCCAAACTTCCTCCATTGTGTTGTAAGTGCAATAAAGATTGCGTATGTAAACAAGCAAACACACAGTCAGTATAGCAACAAGCACTGTGAATGGGAAACAAAGCCGAAGCAACAGGAGGGTTGCCACCCACACTGGCGCATTGGCCGCCATCTTCTGTCTCATTCATTGCCATGCAATGCATACATTCAATTCTAAGTGGAGACATTTAAAAAATGCACACACTGCTAGTTTTTTTGAAAAACCTAATCTTATATTTTGTTCTTTTAATGTAAAGGAATAACAGCTGTAATTCAATGTTTCGAATCGGAATAAAATGGATAGTGCCCCAAAGGATTTTTGAGTCTGAACAAAAAAACAGTACGTGAGAAAAATAACTACTGTAGTCGCTTTTTTTTTAAACATCTTGTTATTCTGAACACAACTGGAGAGACAAGCAACCATTTCTACATTTACACCTTTAGGCAAGTCTTCAGATGATCTTGCATGACAAAGCCAGAACACTCAGAGAAATCACCTTTAAACACAAGAATACTAAAACACAAAAGTCACAGGAAATTCCTTAATGCCTGTATCCTTTTGACTCTGTTACCCATAAACAGTATTCTACAACCTGTTCAGATTTTTCATTTGTAACGAGTCAATAGCAATGTTAGCATTCCCACAAATGTTGACTAGATGCTTTACCGCCACGAGGAAAGCCAGGCGACCTGACGTTCCACAGCCACTCAAGACAACAAGGCTGTCCTTTGGCTCCTAAGAAACAAATGGCGCACTTTAATGACACAGAAATGAAACAGGAACACAAGTGGGGCGATACCTTGAGGATGAGCTCCACTATCTCAGCCACGTCCATCATGGTTTTCACCACTTTGTCACACAAAAGCGTCTAAAAGAACATTGGAATGCATTTCTACCGGTTCTAAGACTTACAACACTGTACACTGTGTCATTACTTGACTTACCAGGTAAGTGCTTCCTGTCTCTTCGCGAAACATCTCGGCGTCGCAGTTCTGCAACATCCGAACAATGCGACTGGGTGAAGCTTGGTCGATGTCCCATGTCAGGGGGTTTGATTTCTCCGAAACTGGAAGTGAGGGCTCATAATCTGATGACTGGTGACAACAGTTGCATCAGGTCATGTTAGTTTATGTGATTTTTAGGGTTTTTTTTTTTTTTTTTTTGGTATGATATTGTGTGTGTGTGTGTGTGTGTGTGCGTACACAAAGTTGCATTGGGTCATGTTAGTGTGTACACACACACACACACACACACACACACACGCACATAATTTTTATTGGGGCCTATTTTGCTTAAGATCCCATCACCAACACAAAAAGAGAACCTAGAATAAATATTTTGGTATTACTGTGGAGATTGAATAATATTCTTACCTCCCATTCAAGCATCGTAGACTAAAAACTGGATCGGCCAAATTCCGCTACATAGGCGTACAATGGAGACAAATCAGTGCCCAGATCGCTCTGCAGTAACAAAGTCCACAAACAGACCTTTGACATGTTAGTGGCAAAAGGAAGCTTGAAAAAAGGTTCAGTCGAGTTAGATTGCTGTTATTCTTTCACTGATCACAAAACAAGGTCCACCTCCTGCATGATCTAATAAGATCCAATGCTAGAATTGTCAGAGAGGAATTCATTTAACAATCTGCTTATTAATGGGGTTTCAGCTTACGGTGGTTTTGAACTGCACAGAGAGTAACACAGTATGTAATAATATGTGATGCTCACTTCATGATACAGTTGAGTTCAACACTGGTGCAAACTAAAACCACAATAATAAACATATTATTATATACAATATACATTTAGACATTCATGTCACTTTATTAAAACAGAATAAAATACAAATTAATTAAAATTTAATTAAATAACAGTCCAGTGCAGTCCAAAAGTAAAGGCTAGGATGCATATGTAACCATTTTGCAAAATGCTGTTCTCATGTTTCGGGTGTGTGCTGTGATTCCCATGTTTTCAGATGCCTCGGTTTTCACCGGGGTGCAACGGTGGGTGCAGGGTTTGATTCCAGCGACGGCCTTTCTGTGTGGAGTTTGCATGGTTTCTCCGTGGCTGTGTGGGTTTTCTCCGGGTACTCCGGTTTACTCCCACATTCCAAAAACATGCCTGGCAGGTTCATGGAACACTCTTAAATTGTCCCTCAGTGTGATTGTGAGGATGAATGGTTGTTTTTCTTATGTGTGCCCTGCGATTGGCTGGCAACCGGTGTACCTCACATGCTGCCCGAAGACAGCTGTGAGAGGCTTCAGCAAGCCCGCAACCCTCATGAGGATGAGCGGATCAGATAATGGATGGATGAACTTGGTCACTCGAGTTTTCTGTTTAATATTGTTCAAAATGAATAACACTAATTCGCCAATAATTAAGATTCCATATTATGTTGACATCTTTACAGTACTTTGAAGTGTAGATGTGGTCACATGGGCTACACGGTCAATCTGGTTCATTAACGCTACTGTATTTAAAAATTGTTGGTTCAAGCGGGTGTAGGCAGCTAAAGTGACGAGCTCCATGTTCATTCTCGGGTGACCAACCGTCTCGTGTAGCACGTGCCCGAACAGCATTTGAAGTTGAATCTATGCGTCCCACACCTACCCCTCAGTTGAACAGCTGACAGGCGTAAGAGGTTGCAGTCAACAGGTTTATGTTGTTGTCATGACACTCCACGCAGATTTGCAGGGCATCACTTGGCCAATGTGCGCCAAGTGGACACCTGGTACGATCCAGAGGCATACCTTACTAATTATAAGCCACCTCAACCAAGTTAGTGAAGGATTGCACACCCTGTGAGGCTGCTTGTTGCTTTATTTCCCTTCTTGCCCATACCGCGTATTGTATTAAAAATATAATTAAAATAACATACACACAAGAGACTTCAAATTGAAAACTGGTTGTATTTTGTCATTATTTTTTTACGGTTTACTATTCATGATGCAGGTGAGGCTCTGCCTGAGTACGTTTTCTTTTGCTTCGAGACCACAAATTCTCTTGTGCATTGTGTGTCATTCAAAAACTTAGAATGTCGTTTGTTTGTAGCGTCATAACCGAAAACGCCATGTAAGTTATGACTAACTTTCCACCAATACCTCTTGAAGTCTGACCCATCATTCTAGAATCAGGGCTCTAAGTGATGCATCAACAAACTTTTTGAATGACATCAGATAATGTCTGAATTTATGCAGAATACCATCAGTTCCAAAGATTTCCCTTCCCAGATGTGACTAATTGCATCTTTTGTGTTTCTACAGATACGGAGCAGATTAAAACTCCTGATGATTCCTATCAAGAATGAGGTGGTCCTTTTAATCTTGTCAAATTTACTTGTCATTGGGAAGTCTAGGAGCCTCCCTTTGCTGCAGCATCACAATTCAATAAGCAGCATGTAGCAGTTGATGTGGTCTTGATTTGGAGCAAAATTGTCATTCATTTGGGAAAAAAAGTGATGCAAAACCCTGTAATCATATAGTTGGCGATTCATGATCGTCCTCTGACGAGCATATGGGCAGCCCAGGGTGTAAACAACATCTTACTTACAAGTCACCTTTACAACATTACCAGTGACCCTGAACTGGAAAATGCACATTTTGGTACTGGACTTGTACAGTGAAATACATTTGCAAGTATTCTGGAGAAAAGAAAATACAATTGAAAAGATTGACTCTGAAATTAAACTCATTGTTTTCAAACAAATCTGTTGGGGTTTACACCTAGATCCAACATGCAGACAGAAGATCATCAACTCCACACCCACAGTTACCATGACAACTGTGAGAAGGCTTGTCTCCAATGCAAGCTGAGAGGGGGGGAAATGAACAACTTGCTTGCAGGGAGAAACGATTACTTAAGATATTGTACCAGAAGTTTAATGTAATTACTTTGGCAATGACATTCATCAGGAATCATCTTCTAACAGTCACCCTTCACATTCGCACACGCACAGAATCATTCATCTCTGTCTCTCTCTCTCTCTCTCTCTCTCTCTCTCTCTCTCTCTCTCTCTCTCTCTCTCTCTCTCTCTCTCTCTCTTCTCTTTCACACACACACACACACACACACACACACACACACACACACACACAACCACACACACACACACACACACACACACACACACACACAGACTGTACAGTACTGTACAGCTAATGTGTGTTGAGGTTGACGAGAGGAATGCTCACGCTCCACCAAGTCCACACTGTTTCAGCCACTAACCGCAGGCAGTCAACATCACTGCCATATTGGATGTGTCAAAGTGAATCGATTGTTGAGAATGTCTCATTCAGTGGCTGTTTCCATGACTCTGTGGTCGCTTCAGCCATTCATTAAGGCATAATCTGCTGCTCAGGCAGCATCTCAGCCTGGGACCCATGCCTTCTCTGCGAGGCCAAACACGATCAGAAGCAGATGCATTTTTCATCTTCTTTTCCTTTTGGCTTGTCCCGCTAGGGGTCACCACAGTGTGTCCTTTTCCATCAAAGTCTATATGTTCTGCATCCTCCACTTTAACACCAACTGCCCTTATGTCTTCCTCTCACTTCATGCCTTAACCTTCTCTTAGGTCTTCCTCTTCCTCTTTTTCCCAGCAGCTCCAAATTCATCATTGTTCAACTGATATACTCACTCTCTCTTCTCTGGAATTGTCCAAACCATAAGTCTGCTTGCTCTCTGGAACTTTATCCCCAAAGTATAAATATAACCTTCACTGTCCCTTTGATGAGCTAATTTGTGAGCCTTTACAATACAAAACATCTTTATTTATATATACTATCCATCCTGGTGACTCTGCTTTCTTCAGTGCCACTGGCCATATCTTGATAAGCGTGCTGATCCGTTCTTACGTCCTTGGGATCTCCTGAAACGTCATCAGTCATGGCCCAAGTACTGTTCCAATTGAAAGTACAAACAAAACAAGAATGAACGGGATATGAACATTGTTCTTCTCAGCTGACCCAAACCAAGGATGCATTGGTTGGTTCTTGTGAAAGCTTGACAAGTGAAATATCTCGAGATGCATTTTGTGCTGCAATTACAGAAATATATCAAAGTCAGGGGGTGAGTTAACAAGTACACAGCCTTTCCAATTTACAAAGAGATTTGCATTCTTGGGAAGAACGAGCTCGTGTATGTTTCAATTCAGAAAATTATTTTTTGGGGCACTTTCAGAGAAGAACGTTTGAGCTAGTTGATGCAGACTGGCAGGAGCACAGACAGGAAGTCTGCATCTGCATCTCTGGTGAGTACGAACTATTTGATTGAAAGTTTGTGTGTTTATTTGTCATATTATCAAAGAAATGTTGATTGTGAACTGCTATATTGTTGAGTAGAGTTTTGGAGGTGATGTATTGGAGGATAAAAGCAACTGCAATCCTGTCTTTAGGAATAATTGTATTCATCCTCAAATACATTAAATGTCCCTGTCTCTTATTTAATCCCACACCATTATCTAGTGTTCTTGTACATTTATCATATTCGATATAATTGTGTTACTCAGAGGTGGATTAGGTCATTTAACTCCCCACTGAAGGCTCAGGTCCAAAACTCACTTCTCGCCACGACTGCAAGTACATGTGCGACTATGTGCGTGTGAATACTTCGTAGACCATCGCTTTAATGAAAGGAGGTCCATTCATACCTGTCAACTCATACGGTTTCGCCATAGTTCATACGGATTTTGTGGTGAATCTTACGTATATGGCCATATCGCACAAATCATAGGGATTCTGAAAATTTCCGTTATTTTTTTTTTCCCCCTAACAGGTAGTTCCGTTTGCTTTTGCCCAGAATGGTGCTAGTCTCCTCGAATGCTTTCATTTCCGATAACTTTCCAGTAAATCACGTGGTTCCTAGTTGAAAAACAGCAGAGTATTCATTGCATACTTCGGTAGTGTACAAGCAAGTTCTGCAAGGAAACAAATATATCATTCATATTTCGTGGGTTTTTTTTCTGCCGTTATTTTGACATATAAAATGCTTTGGTATGTTATAAGGATTTTTTGCTCTTTATAAGGATTTTTTTGGTAGTTTATACAGGTTGGCGCTCCGAAAAGTTGACAGATATGTCCATTGCAAATGTTTACACGCAGATCTGCCACATTCAATATGGCGGACGCTGTGTTGGGACAACGAACTGTCTACGTAAGACTCTGTGTGTAGTTCTCCGGTAGAGAGCGGAGTGAGAGATGGAGCGTGGCAGCGGTGCTGGGCAGCACTGGAAGGGGTCCGACAGCCGGGCCAGCTGGGACACGGGCCGGGGCTGCACATGCTGCCCATGTTCAAGTTAGGAAAGCCATGCAAGGGTCGTCGAGTGACGGAGACAGAGAAACCACAAAGCCCATTCATGCTCAGGCGTATTTATTATCATGATCTTTTTTAAATATTAAAACAATTGCGTTGCATGACGTCATAGGCTTCTATCGCCCAACATGACCAGATGATGCAGCGCTCGTGGACAAGGTCTCCGGTTCTAGTGACGGGGTCTTCAATGGACCGGGTGAGAGAACTCTGATGGCTCTCCGCGGCCGGGGCCGGAAGGAGACACCGAGGGGAGCGTACAGCAGCAGGTTTCTGGAAAGCGTCGCGGTGTCCGCACCCCGCGACGAAAAAGAAGCACCACGGTGCGGCTGTCGTGCTTTTCACCGGAGGGTACGAGCGGCAAGGGGAACATGGCCGCGCAGTCGGACGGTAAAGCCGGGGTGGGTTTCGCCCAGCTTTACGACGTCGATGCCGACGAGCAGCTGGACTCGGCCGCGATCCACATCTGCCAGTGCTGCCGCTCTTCGGCGTGCTACTGGGGCTGCCGCTCCGCCTGCCTCGGCTCGTTGCTCGGCGGGAGCCAACCCGCTGCCGCCGGCGGGGTCGGCGTCCGGGAGACTCACTGCCCACCCCGGGAGCAGCTGTGGTTGGACTGCCTCTGGATCATACTGGCTCTCCTCGTCTTCTTCTGGGACGTTGGCACAGACCTGTGCCTCGCAGTCGACTACTACCAGAGGCGGGACTACTTGTGGTTCGGCCTCACGCTCTTCTTCGTCCTGGTACCTTCGGTGCTGGTCCAGATTTTAAGTTTCCGCTGGTTTGTGCAGGACTACACTGGTGGGGGGCTCGGGGAGGTGGAGGGTCTAACGAAGCGGGGTGCTGTGGCTCTGGGGTGCCACTATCCCGGCAAGGACCGCTTGCAGCTGGCCACCATTTGGCTGTGGCAGGCCACCATACACATCCTCCAGCTGGGGCAAGTGTGGAGGTAAGTGGGCGTGGGTGTGCGTGGTGGTGGTTTCACAGCACTTGATACGCGCTATTCTCCAAACGCCTTTCACTCACACCCCTTCACACACAGCTCCTCCACATGGCATAGTTTAAATTGTTGACGACTGTGACTCATATTATTCGTTTTTTCCCCATTGAAATGAAGTGAAATGCCAAACCTGATCCAGCCCCTAAAAATAACCACAATTTAAAAAAAAATGTATTAATCAAGAAACAGCACTGTTTAATATGTTGTTCACCAACCACCAGTCTGTGGCTCAGTGGACAATTTGGTACTGGGCCACAAATTACACTGCTCACCAAATTCTTACGAAATGTTTAATCAGTGATGTACCGTAATTAAATGTCTCTATTTTTTTTTCAGTGATTCCAAATAAGCACAGTTTTTTTTCCTCTCGCTCATCAGAAAAAAGACCTGGTAAAATCTGTATTTCACAAGCTTAACCATTTAAAAAACAAAATGAAAAGCAGATGTGTTCAAATAAAGTACGTAAAGACTTTTTTTTTTTTTTAAATCAACGTCAAAAATACATTTCGGGAAACATAAAGCCATCTCTGATTAATATTTGCAGCTATCTTTTTGTTGATTTTTTTTTTTTCTTGTAGCCTTGCACATATGTCTATAATGTATTTAATCACTCCTACCCTCGTGGGCATAGTTTCCGCCAGTGAATATATGTCAAAAGTTAGTTTGTTGATATTTGGACAAGTTGAAAGTCAACAACATGCTGGGCATGTTACGCTGTTCATGCTTATTGAAGCTTTCCACTCTTTTACTATTTTACTGGAAATTTACCAGTTACTTTGCAGTTGAGTACTGTCGAAGTATCAGTCAAGCATTCACCCCTTGTGTTGTTACTTGGGAGTCCCCAACTCCCCAAAACAACAATGGCCTGTCGACCAACACCAAACCACTGCACTCTTGGGAGACCCTTGATGTATACGTTTGTTCAATGACTTCAATCTTCCCAGCACTGCTTTGAGCTTAAGTGTATACTCGCACCGGATGGTAACTACATTACAAATGCCTCTCGCTTTGTCCCTAAACTACACTGTGGGCCCAAAGAGTAGATCATAGACACCACCCACTATTCCAAAAAGGATTCAGGCACTGAACTGCAAAACATTTTTGTTTCACTTCTCTCAAGTAGCATTTCAGGGAAACCTGAAGCTTGCTCCTAACTAAAATTATAGTCACAAGAAAAAAAATCGATAAGGCGACTAATTCTCCTAAATTGGGGCAATCTTCGGTCCACCACTCCGAAGGAGAAGTATGCTGTCGAGTAGATAAAGCTGAGTGGGAGAAGAGCTTGCTTCACTACGACAGCTCGATGAGCAAGCCTCTCTCCAAGCTTCCTCACGCTTCAGTTATTAGACACTACTTCCTTGTCTGTGTGAAAACTCCCAATGAACTGTGCCTACAAATCATCCCCAAAAACTGGACAAGCGTTTTACAAATTATTAGACCCCCTTTGGAGCTGTGCAAAAAAGGGTAGCACCATGGACAGCATCAAATGTGTATGTGCGTATCAGTGTGCTTGGTGAGCGGATGGCTAAAAGTGTCAGTGTGCATGGTTTGGTTATAGTTTTTGTGGGGTACATACAAACACATGCATGTACGCGTTATTACATGCACACATTGATAGATAGGTTATGGACTCAGAGGGTTCTTGGTTTATATTGGAGTTGGGTTCCTATCGCGGCGATGTAAATTTGTGCCTTGGTTGTGGTCTATCACTAACCTACATTAATGCATTAGAGAAGTCATATTTACAGTAATTATTTGTATGAGAAATACTTTCAGGCTGTAAATATAAAGTCATCAAATAAAAGTTAAGTTGCGGCAACTGAACATGACGACTTGTTTTTCCACTGCTGTACAAACTAGTTCAGTGCTCGCCATTTATGACCTCGAATGTCATAATTACAGTAAAAATCCAGATGAAAAACACTTCTAGGTCAGAATATAAAATAATTCAATGAAGAAAAGGAAGTATGGCAGTAACTGAGCCTAAGTTCTTGTGCTGCATGACATTCATAACCTTAAAATATTGTGTTTCTGGCCCATTGTAATTAAAAGCATTGAAGTGGAAAAGAGCTGCTCTTATACACATCTTTCTCTTTAGTCACTGTGTCTGTCATGTCATGGGTGTACTTGATCTCAGGCCCAACGCACACTGAGCCAGGTGTCAGAATGCGACTACGAACCAATCACAATGTCAAATTGTCATGTGCAATAACGTTGAGATTTTGCAAGAAATTTGCTACCCTGTTTACACTCACTAGAACAATAATTGAACAAACTAGTAATCCACCAATTTAATTCGTACAAGTAATTACAGTCAAACCTCGGTTCTCGTCCATAATCCGTTGCAGAAGGCTGTTCGAAAACCGAAATTGTTCGAAAAACGAAACCACGCTCTTTTTAAAATAAAAATGTTGACTGAACACGTCTGCTCACAATGGAAAGCAACACGAGGAAGCGTCACTTCCTCGTGTAAGGAAGGCGAGAGGAGTCAAGTGACGCATTCAAGTGCGCTCAGTTTGTTCGAGAAGCGAAATTTGTTCGTCATCCGAGGCATAAAAAACTCGAAACTTTTGGTCGAAAACCGAAGTGGTCGAGAACCGAGACGTTCGAAAACCGAGGTTTGACTGTATATGATTTGATGAGTAAACATTTATATCGGTTTCACTGTCGTAACGGCCCTCCGAGATAAGACATATTCCAAAGAGGCCCGCGACAAAAATGAGTTTGAAACCCCTGGTCTAGACTGTTATAATTCTGCAGTGATGCCTTGAAATGCAAGTTTTTTTGTTATCCGGCTGATTAGTATTTATTTTATTTTAATTTTTCATTGATCTGCAAACAAAATTTTGAGATAAGAGCGTAGTATGGTGCTCGTGAACTCAACTCACTTCACTCAGGATGGGCAGGGAAAGATAACAAATATTGGGGACTCGCAATGGCGGCCGATACCAAGGTGCCCTCATGTGGCCATTTTTTGTATCAGGGAGGAACTCAATGGCATGTGCACTGTTTTACTAATGTGAACTGTATCCATGTCAATCCTTTGATATGCTCATTAAGATACATTCTCTGTAAGTGTATGTAAGGTTTATATTAATGCTTAATCAAAATTGACCTGGATGTCATTATTTTACACACAACCTAAAATTAGGGTTTGTTTTAAAAACAATAAAAACATCGTGTAGCATAAATGAAACAAATCTGGCAGTTAAATATGGCACACATTCAACTACGAGTAACACAAAAACAAACATGACAAGGATTACTGTCCTTACAACTTCATGAATTAAATGTATTGCGCTACGCAATGCATTCTGGGAACCTGGCGGCCTATTTTAAAATGAATTTCTCTTCAGCTTTTACTTGAATAAAACCTCACATTTCAGAAGATCGGCTCACCAGTCCTCACAATGTTGACCTGATTCTAGTTTGCCGGCTGATGGACATTTTTAACATACCCAGAAAGTGAGAGTTAATGTTTATTCAGATCTTCTTTTATCTTCCACCGGATCCCCACAGGAATGTGTTCTTTCAACGCTTTTAATTGTTTTATGTACAAATGAGCGTCAGAGTCATCAAGTGGATAGATTCATAAGGCGTAGAAAAAAAAGTAGTGTGTTTCCGGTAACCCGACCGACCGAGAATTTCTACGTTGAAAAAAAACTTTACGGTCGGCATTTTTTTCAAACAATCCTCGACATTTTTGTGTAGAGGGTTCACATCGGTGCAAACTCTCATGATATTCACGTTGAGCGCATGCGTCGTTTGCCCTGTCGTCTGTCAACAACATTGAAACATGGCGGCGGCCGCGATCTCCGACGAGTTTAAACCGCGTTTTCTGTGTTACGGTCGCATGCTCGTACTGTAATGTTAAGAAAATAGCATCCATTGATGTATCGAAAAAATTCAGCGAACTATTTGATGAACACCATGGGCGTGGGGGAAAAAATAAAGATTAAAAAAAAAACTTTGTCCGACCTACCGACCCTATGCTGAAATTTCTTGTTACCGGAAACACACTATCTTTTTTGTTTGGCCTAATCAAATGTGCAGATGATTCTGTAATTGTGTCACTTTTAAATAATGATGGTAATGTGGTTCGTGCTTTTCGTGATTGGTGTGATCGTTCTTTCTTAGAAATCAGTGTTTTTTTTAAGAAAAGAAATGTTCATTGATTTTAGAAGTAAGTCTTCTCTTCGCTCTCATGTCCTTATCGATGGCCAACCTGTTGGGATAGTTAAAAATTATAAATAGTTATGGATCATTCTTGATACCAAGCTCACTTTTGATGCCCACATTGACTCTGTTTGCGCTTCGGCCAATCAGCAAATTCACTTTTACAGGAATCTTTGGGGTTCCCTTTTTGATTGTGCTTTGATGATTTTTTTTTTCTTTTATTCTTGTTTTATTGATTCTGTTTTAACATGTTCTTTTATTTGCTGGTATGGATCCCTTACTTGAAAGAACAAAAATTGCTAACACCACAGTGTGTGCAGTAAGATGGGAGGCCTAAATTTACAAGATCTTTCCTCACTTTACTGAGTGAGAGTAGCAGAAAAGGCCCGTTCCATCACAACAGATTGCATCCTCTGTCTGCTGAATACAAACTGCAGCCTCAAGGGCGCAGATACATCATGCCCAGGTGTGGGACAAAGAGATGTAAGAAATCATTCAGACCAGTTTTCATTGCCCTTACAAATAGCATGGTATCACACTCTGCATACTGTGCTATTGTATTTTATGTTGTGTTAACGTGTGTGTGGATTATTGGTGTGTCCTTATGTTGACTGGTGGCCGTAAAAGGAATTGCCCCTTGTGGATAATAAAGTTCACCTTGACCTTGACCGTCCTCTGAGATATGAACAATAGATACGACACTCCTGTGCCTACGGCGGCGTCAAAATTCGTATGGGCAATGCTGCATTCCATTTTCGTGGATGTCACAAAAAAAAAAACAAACAAAAAAAAAAAAACAACAACACCACCACCAACAACAACAAAATAAATCAATAATGCATGTTGTGTATTGGTAGCTCACGTTTTAGCATTAAAAAAGTAAACTGTGTGAAAACTGGTTGAGAAATGAGCAAGTTCTGACTTACTCTCAATGCACTTGCATTGCCTTTGATGGGAACTCGCTGAACTGGGCTGCTACTGTGTGTCATATCACCTTAGTTGAAATGTGTGTGCTTTTGTAACACGTGAATAGCTTGCCAATCATTAATGTGATAGAATGAGGGTCCATTAGTATTAGCATTTAGCTTCCGTACGCTCCAGACTTATTTTATTTGCAGGTCACCACACAACGCATGACATCAAATTACTGTCGAATTGAACAGTGTCTTCAGAACAGGATGACAAACTTGTGTTGCTCAAACTCTGGTTAAATGGAAGGCGCTACCAAAATGTATTCCTCGAAAATAAGTTGTACTTTCACATATTTTGATTAAGAGTTTTTCTCAAGTGTGAAGATTTCATTTTTTTTTATTCAGTTTATTCTACTTATCTAAGTTTGAATCAACGGGGTAGCAGCTGAAGCAGGGAAAACCAGACTTCCCTCTCCCTAGCTACTTCGTCCAGCTCTCTTCCCAAGGCAACCGGGAGACATAGTCTCTCCAGCGTGTCCTGGGTTTTCCTCAGTGCCTCCTCCAATGGGGACATGCCCGTAACACCTTACCAGGGAGGCGCCCAGGTGGCCTCATGACAAAATGCCTGAGCCTCCTTATCTGGCTCCTCTCAATGTGGAGGATGACTAAGCTTCTCACCTTATCTTATTTTATTTATTTTTATTTATTTATTTATTACCTTATGCGATGGCTGTTTGAAAGTGCTCTATAAATACAGTTGAGTTGAGTTGAGTTATCTCTAAAGGAAAGCCTAGCCAATTTGCAGTGGAAACTCATTTTGGCCACTTGTATCCGGCATCATATTCTTTCGGTCACGACGCACAGCTTGTGACGGTGGGTGAGGGTAGGAACACACAGGTAGGTCGAAATGATAAATCGAGAGCTCGCTCTTCACCACGACGGACCAATACAGAGTCTGCATCAATGCAGACGCTGCACTGATCCACCTGTGGAGCTCTCGCACCATCCTCCACTCACTCGTGAACAAGACCCCAAGATACCTGAACTCCTCCACTTGGGAAAGGATCTCATCCCCGCCCTGGAGAGGGGCACTCCACCCTTTTCCGACTGAGGACCATGGTCTCAGATTTGGAGGTGCTGATTTTCATCCCAACTGCTCCACAGTCGGCTGTGAGCCACTCCAGTGAGAGTTGAAGAAGCAAAAAGTACCACATCATCTACAAAAAGCATGGTTGTAATAATGAGACGACCAACCCGGATGTCCTCAACACCTTGGCTCCACCTAGAAATTCTTTTCATCAAGGTTATGAACATAATTGGTGACAAACGGCAGCCTTGGCAGTGTCCAACCCTCAGTGGAAACGAAGCCGACTTACTGCCGGTAATGTGGGCCAAACTCTGACACTGTTCGTACGGGGATCGAACAGCCTGTAATAGGGCATCTGATACCCTACGCTCCTGAAGTACCATCCACAAGATCTCCAGGGGTAATCGGTTGAATGCCTTCTCCAAGTCCACAAAACACATGTAGACTGATTTAGAGAACTCCCATGCACAAAGTCGCTCACCAAACTGATGTCAAGTGCACATATACCCTTCCTGGCTGAACTCTGGGAGAATATTCGTTTATGGTGTCCACTTGCCTTTGGGCAGATGGCAGCTTGAGTAGCAGCTTCCCTGTTGTGTTTGTGTGCGCATGTGTGTTTGTTTACCTCCTGCTGAGAGGAGAAACACCAGTGCAGCTTTTCAGCTTGGCCAGCTCTAAGGGTTAAATGGACCACCCTTCAACTTGTCCATACACACACACGCACACCAACTCCAGCCACTCCAACTTGCGAGCACCCCTCTCACACTGCTGAATGGACTGTGCTACCTAGGAAAGGAGGAGGAACATGGAGAGAGGGGGCAGGGGAAAGCCTTCAGACTGATTGAGATGGATCGTTAAGAGATGGAGAGAGGCTGTGGAGAGGATGGAGGAGGCGAGAGAGATGAGGGAGGAAGGAAGTGAGAAGAAGGGAAAGTCGAAAAGAGTGGATGGAGGCGAATGGGAGGAGGGAGGAAGAAGAGAATGGAAGGGATGATATGGGAAGAGGACGAGGCGGGAAAAGGTTACTTGCGCACAATACCAGTAAAAGGGGGATGGGAGAAGGAAAGGGAAAGTGCTTGGGGGAGGGTTGATGCAGAAGATCCACACTTACTGGTTGTAATTATCGAATGCAAGCAGCTGTCAGGGTGACCCGCTACTCCATCTTTAAACCAAAAGGCTGTTGTGTTGTGTTTACGCCCCAGCCAAACATCATACTCGTTAATATAATAATTAAAAAAATAAATAAATCGCAATAATACTCGAGTCAAGGTCACAAGCACATTTTGATGCAAGGTCAAAGCAGGATCCATGCTACTCTCAGGGCGTGCGTGTATATGAGCTCCACTTTGGATGCTGTATTATTCATGCTATGTGGATGTAACTGGTACTTTTTGCGAAGCAGAGGACTCTAATGGCAACACCGCACCAGACATGCTATAAAAGCATGCACTGACGCCTATGCACACGGAAAATGTCATTGTAGTACACAGTACGCACACATCCACACAAACACATGCACTCGTGACTAAGAGCCCAGGGGCACTTTAATTGAAATCCTACATTCACCCACACGAGCCGTAACTGTATCTTAACAACAAAGTATCCAGCATATTTTGCTTGTCTGCATGGTTATTCACAGATTGATGAAAAAAAAAGCATCAAAATATGTGTCACCCATCTTCACGCTTCTCCCATTTAAATGATCTCCGTCTTTGATCTTGTTCAAATAGTGTAAAGGAAGTGCAAAATGATGCTCAACCTGAAGAAAGATAGAATGGAAAAATGCGGAACCACATTTCTGCTTGATGTTATACGTTATTTGCGTGGTTGTTGGCAAATTTCATCGATATAGTGTATATGGTACATGTATGTAAATGCATGCGAAATGTACAATTTTACCACTCTGCCTAATATGACCTGGTTTCATTTTTTTAGGTCAACTGAATTTAATTCATTTCCAAAGTTTCATTGAATATGCTTCTTTTAATTTTAATTGTATCATATTTTATCATTACAAACCAATTCTCGTTAATAATTGCAAAATTGGATAACCTAATGTTATTCAGGATGCTTCTCCTACATACTGCACTTTATAATGAGGTGCAATGAAAGATTCAAATTAGTACGGTATCATCATTTCTGGCTTCAGAGAGACGACAACACACTAAGTGATGTTGTGAGAGAAGAATGTAGTTGTGATCGCCACCCAAGATTATTCGTCAAAACTGGCTATTATCATCTCTATATACACCAGCTGGTTAAGGTATACAGTACTTTCCTAATGAATTGATTAGTTAAGTCTATTTATTACCTCTGACTGCTGCAGGTACATCAGGACACTCTACCTTGGCCTGATGTCGCGGCGGCAGAAGGAGCACCAGCGCCGCTGGTACTGGGCCATGATGTTCGAGTATGCAGACGTCAACATGCTTCGGCTGCTGGAGACTTTCCTGGAGTCGGCGCCTCAGCTGGTCCTGCAACTGTGCATCATGATCCAGGAGAACCGTGCCGAAACACTGCAGTGTAGGTGGACGAGGAGATACCTTGACATGGCGCGCAAAAAGAGCACACACAACAGGAGCTGTGCGAATGCCATTCATAGCCGTTGTGCTTCGGAGTTTGGGTGACGATGCTGCCGCTTTTTAGATTCTGTTTTTTGTTATGGAAAGCACAATCATTTCAAGTGTTCGTGTTGCGTTGCTGGCCAGTGAGCTTGCTTTGTCATCCAGGAAATTGGTCATTTGTGGGGTCACCCGCTCACGGCAAGTGAAAATATGTCAAATGTTTTGAAGGCAAGGGCGAACAGTAGCTGAGATGTGAACATGATACAGCAACAAACCATACTCACGTCAAATTCCATGCCATAATACTACCGGGTAGGTGATTTCACCGAGCCAAACTTATGGTAAACTAGAAAAATAAATAAAATAAGGGGAATTATATTACACTGAACTGTGAACATAATGCTAACTACATTGGGGGGGGGGGGGGCGTTTAAAAAAAAAAAAAAAAAAAAAAAAAAAAAGTTAGTGACAATCATTTGCTCTGGCCGGTTTGAGCAGAAAGTTTGATTTAATCGCGCAGCTGTCATTTAATACGGTGGAGCGGCAGGCGCTCCTGCACCCGAACTGTGAACATAAAGCTAACCACATTGGGGGGGGGGGGGCGCTTTACAAAAGAAAAAAGAAAACCTCTTGTTATACCCGTCTATAAAATCATTTTCAATTTCAAGGTTTTATAATTTCATGCACACCTCAGTAGGGGCTGTATGATTTCTCGCAGCCAATCGGCTAAGAAAAATACTGACAAATGTAACAATGACTTGAAGCATAACGACAGTATCAAATGATCCTAAGAGTAAAACATCTTGTAATGTCCAATTATTGTCCGTGTGTGATTTTTGTGAGTCTTTCAAGAAGTTACCTTTGGTTCAAGTTAAAGACAACCCCAACAAGCTCAACCTAAATTTGTGTCTACTCACTTGAAGTTTCTCCAAACTTTGTTCCAAAAGGATTCAACTCGGAGGAAGTGAAGCATGAGTCTTGTCTGTCTCCCGCAGGCATCTCCTCCCTCGCCTCGCTCCTGTCTCTCGCCTGGGTCTTGGCCTCCTACCACAAACTGCTGCGGGACTCGCGTGATGACCAGCGCAGCATGAGCTACCGCGGGGCCCTGCTGCACCTCTTCTGGCGCCTCTTTACCATCTCGTCCCGCGTCCTCTCACTCGCCCTCTTTGCGTCGCTCTTTCACATCTACTTTGGCATCTTTGTGGTGGTCCACTGGTCCGCCATGGCCTTCTGGGTGGTGCACGGGGGCACCGATTTCTGCATGTCCAAGTGGGAGGAGGTGCTTTTCAACATGGTGGTGGGCATTGTCTACATCTTCTGCTGGTTTAATGTGAAGGAGGGCCAGACGCGACACAGGATGATTACGTACTACACGGTGGTGTTGGCCGAGAACACCATTCTCACTGGCCTGTGGTGAGTTCAAAACATGAACAAATGTGACAGCTTATCCACCTGGTCTCTTTGTGGCGATCAAGACATGAGCAGAACTCTGCCGATGTTGAAAATTGCGTGCCCCATGAAATCATAGCGACACTTCGATGTGTACGTTGTTTCCTTGTAACGTTTCCTGATCATGACAACTCATAACTCGTATAAATTGGTGAAGTCGTGTCTACCAGATTGTGCCAGAGTGTGACCATTCCACGGACAGAGGACACTCGGCTTTTCATATCAGCTGATTTACATGTTACATTCCGGGGAATAGGCATATTGTTTGTCAAGCAGCTGACAAAGGACGCTCTTTAGACTGAATGGAGTCAGTTGTGCTAGTCACAGTCCAAAAAAGTCACATGCATCTCATCGCTCTAGCTGCCTCCACCTGCTTCAACCACATGTTAAATACTGAAACCTATGATTGGTCGTGCAGCCCATGTGACCACGTGACATCACACTGTTTGTCCTGCATCTGTTTTAAACAATACGAAATACATCAAATCTAAAATATGCATACTGGTAGCGGGCGGCACGGTGATGGACTGGTTATCACGTCCGCCTCACAGTACAGCAGTGCGGGGTTCGATTCCGACTCTGGCCTCCCTGTGTGGAGTTTGCATGTTCTCCCTGTGCCTGCGTGGGTTGTCTCCGGTTTCCTCCTAGAGTCCGAAAACATGCGTGGCAGGTTAATGGAACACTCGACCTCGTCCTGAGGTGTGAGTGTGAGCGCGGATGTCTTGTTCGTCTATGTGTGCCCTGCGATTGGCTGGCACACATTGACAGCTGGGATCGGCTCCAGCACACCCGCGACCCTCTTGAGCAGAAGCGGATTAGAAAATGGATGGACGTATCGGAAGGAGCACAGGCAAGGTGTGCTCCACTTTTTACGAAAAGTCAGCTCACCTGCTACCCGATAACAAGTGGTGTCGAGGTGATGAGGCAGGCAAGAGATGATCGTCGCAGACTTGGTGTAATTTAACCAAATGCAAGAGTGAAAAATATGGCTTGAGTCAAGATTTTAAAGGCTTGCGGTGGCCATACAAAATACACCAAAATTATTGACCTACATCAAGTAAGTACTAACATGACTGTGTCCACATGCAGGTACACCTACAGGGACCCCGTGCTGACCGACTCATATGCCGTCCCGGCGTTGTGCGGCGTCTACCTGACATTTGCTGGCGGCGTTCTGGTCATGCTGTTGTACTACGGCTTCCTGCACCCGGCCACTGCCCACATCCACCCAAGCCCCGCCTCCTCCTGCTGCGCCCAACTGCTTTGGGGTCTTCCCCTTCCCCCCTCTGCACCACCGACCGCCCCACCTACACCTGCACACATGACCAAGTCCCAGACAGAAGAGGATGTGGCTGAGACGTGTCTTCCCGTCTTCCAGGTGAGGTCAGTGCCCCCCACTTCCAAGCCCGAGGGCCCACTTATAAAGATCGACATGCCCAGGAAACGTTACCCGGCGTGGGATGCCCACTACGTTGACAGGCGCCTGCGAAGGACTATAAACATCCTGCAGTACATCACACCGGCCGCAGTGGGCATCCGCTACCGCGATGGACCCCTGCTGTACGAACTTCTACAGTACGAGTCTTCGCTTTGACACGCACACAGCAATGAGTGCACACACAACACACTGTGAAGAGACATGTTGGTGTTCATGGATGGTCACATTCAGAGAGGAATAAGAAACGCACACGTCACACTTGGTATAAGCACAGAGACACTCAAGCAATCTGTCATATTTCAATGCACACACCCTCAGAAAAACACACACATTCCTTGCAAGCACCTTCAACCTGCAAGTCCCCTGGCCATGACTCAACAAGCTGCCTCAGTGGGAGTCCATTGAGAACTCCTCCTCTTTTTTTTCCATGTGTCAGTTTCAGAACCATGAACATATTCTCACCAGATTTATTTGTTCCCCACTGTTCCCCAAATTCACAAGTACCTCTACAAAGATGAGACAGTGAAAAAAAAGCAACCCGCTTATGTAAATTCATGTCAACCTGGGTTGTTGCAGGGATTAAGGCCCTCTCTGTACAAGCAACCAAAACCTCGCTACTGTAATTTAAAAAAGGATGTGTAAAAAAATAATCATATGGCTTTCCAAAAATCTGAGTTCCATGGACGAGACTGTAATTTGAGCCAATGCTCAAATTTCCTGCCAATGAATGTGTATGATGGGCAATCACAAACTGGAGAGGAAGGGAGAAAATTTGATGTCTATCCTCCCTGTTATCCTTAGAGGAGGCATCTTAAGACAATGGGGCCCTCTTTTCGTGCCCAGGGTCAGGTCTTGCGCAAAGCGGAGTTTAACTGTTTGCATGGTTGGAGTTTTCTTTCTTTTGGAAGGGGGCATTCGCGCCGTTGTGGGAGGCAACGCAACCGACTTGATTGTCATCCAAAGGAAGCCTCATTCCCTTTAAATTCAGAGTACAAGAAGTGCATGGTCTACATGATGGAAGGACTCGCTGGAGTCCAACCATGAGAGCGACGCATGCAAAGTACATTTAAAATGAACCGCAAGATCTCTACTTGCGGATTATATAAAGCATAGGTGTCAAAGTCAAGGCCCGGGGGCCAGATCTGGCCCGCCACATCATTTTATGTTGCCCGCAAAAGCGAATCAAGCATTTCAAGTTCCATGATGCTTGCTACAGTCTTAACAAAAATTCCAAATTGTCATATGTATTTCACAATAACAGTCATTATTCTTGACTTCTGATTTTAAAACTAGTTATCCATCAATTTGTTGTGCGCTGTGTATGTAATATGTGGAGGGGATTAAACATTTATACGGGTTCCCAAAATTTATAACGGCCCTCCAATGGAAACGGTAACTACAATGTGGCCCGCGACAAAAATGAGTCACCCCTGATATAGAGTGGGCCATTGGAGACCGCCTTCTACCCCGATCGTGTGTCCGTATGTGACAAAACCATAGTTGTGTCCCGGTCAGGGATGTGCTTTTATGAAACATATTTAAGATGATAATCATTTGTTTAATTAATTTCTACAATGATTCAGAGGGATTGACACAAACATTGTTCTTTGCTTTTATCTGGTCTAAATTGTTGTCTACTTTATCCCACCAAATTGTCAGGGGCGTGTGGAAGAAAATGCCTTCAACCAGCTGGGACGCCCAAGCGAGGCACAGAACGCTTTGCCAAATTCTCAAAGACGCTAAACTAGACTTGCCCTCTCACAAAAATGAAGATAGGCCAATTTCTACGCCAAGCGCATGTGCACCTGTCTACGAAAACAGGGCCCGATGTCTGAAATAAGATGGAAGACATAATATGGAGTTGAAGCAAATATATTCAACAAATGCTAGATCATGACCAAAAGGAAATTTCAACAAGAGCAAATGTAAGCCTATTTATGTAATTTTTCTTCTCTTGACGCATGAGAGTACCCACTCATCGAAAGCCACCTACAGATAAGCTGTGATGTTTTTATTATTATTATTTTTTTTTAATTCCAAGCTGTTACATTGGCAGGAGAAAACATGTGTACAGAGCCTTAGTCATCTCTTGAGCACACGTGGTCAGTGCGCCAGCCGCATGAGCACGTCATGATGACCGCAAACAGGGAGTCTTTGAATTGAGGGGTGGTACTGGTTAGGGAGGGCTTTTGGAATCAAAACAGGGTTTTTTTTTTTAAATATGATGCAACGTGAAGAACACATAGCGACATTATTATTTTTGCTGTCTGGGGAACAGGCACACAAAAGAGCTCAAATGAGAGTCAGAAATGAAAATACAATTTTGACGTTAAACCTGAAGCTACTTTTTGTTTACATTGACTAAAACTGACCAAATATACACTGGTGGTCTTCGAACCAAAAACAAAGATTTAAATAATGTTGCTATTGAACAACTATTTGGGGTTGCTAAAGCAAGAAGTCAATGTTTTAAATCTTTGGGAAAATTCAAATTCCCTTCAATACAAATTACTGTTGTCTTGTATTTTGTCCAAAGTTTTTGTTATTGTTTTCAATGATTCATGAGGGTGATGTTATACATGTGATGCACTTTTCTTTCATTCTTTGTTACATGTTTGCACTGGGCTTCACCTGCCTAATTAATTTATGTTGCCAAATATGGTCATGTGCTCTGTAGGGGCGACACCATGGAAAAGGTACAGTTGAGATTGCAACTCGTTTTAAGTATACGCACTACCAATGAATTATTTCATACCACTTTCTGTGGTGCTACAGTTCATTTGCTGCCAACAGACGAGTAGATTAGTCAGTGTGAAGATGCAATCGAGTCATACAGTATGTTCACATGCAGATATGTGACACACACACACACATACAAGCGTCATCAAGGTGCAAAAGGGCAGATTGTCACTTTGGATTTTATGGTGCAACTCAAGTACTGCCTTCAGTTAGTGGCCATCAGGCTGCAGCCACACACACCATTGCTATGCAACTCTCTCCTTGTAGGGAGATGTGCTTAGTTAACGCGCTCACAACAGTTTTGTCCTGTAGAGCAGGGTGCTAATTTGTTTTTGCATTCGGTGAAAAGTAGTGTAAGAACAACATGGGATGTATCCCATCCTCACTACTTGAACACACAAACGGATACAGTGACCCCTTGACCCCTTTACAGTTTGGGAAGAGATTCTATTGGTGCTATCAAGTGAAGATTGCTAGGTTGTATCGTCATGGTTACAGTCTCACGGTGAATTCAGCAAAATACTGTCTGTGCTGTGAGCTCCACATTTAAGCAGCAACACACTCTGAAGTGAATGTGGACATTTTTCAAAGGGAAACTCCAGGGGGCGTTGCTGCGACACGCTCCATGGCAAGCGCTGTCTGAATCGGAATTTGTTTGTGTGCTAACCCAACATAGTGTGCCATATAAGAAAAAAAAAACAGCCCCGAATTCATGTGTCTGAGTGAGTATTTATTGCCTATAAAGTGTTTTGTGGGTGCTATGTTCACATACTCAGCAACCGCCCGAACAACCACTCTGCCACATCCAGATAGCTCCAGCTAATCAGGTGTTTCACAGCCAAATCAGGTCAAACACAACCAAAAAGTACTGTCAGTTTTCCGCTTTAATTTAAGAGCTTTCTTTACCGTTCATGAAGGACAGCCATTTTGTGCAGAGAATATCACATTTACAAGTGTTTGCAAAACTGACAAAGACACTTCACACAGTCTTGGCTTGAGAACCTGACTGTTGAAGATCATTCCGTTCGTCCTCCAAAAATATGTTTCGACTCCCTATTCATCCATACTGTGAAGCGCCACATCCATTTTGTAGCTTGTGGCAAAAAGTGTGTCGCGCTTCAAGCACTCTACACCTCACATCGTTAGTAAGCAGCAGTGACCCAGTTCCACTGGCAGCTAAACATGTCCGTGACACAGGATGCGGTACATGCTGCAGGTGACGATGGTCCGATCCTTTCATTCGCCACACGTTTCTATTCGCATCCTTCTGATATAAACTGACGTTACTGTCTTCTGCCCAAAGAGTCTGATTCCAGAGGGTTTACCCCTGTATTTTTATTCGGGTCAGAAAAACACCATTCCGCCGCGAGGCAGTTGTAACATTTCTGACATGGGTCGCCGATATTGAGGATAATATGAAGACAAGCTCTTGATTGTAGATTTTAACAATGATCTACAACTGCTGATGTTTATGGCTTTTCTCTGGCATAATTCATTCCGGTTGTCTTTTGGTCCTCCGTATATTAAAGGTCCTATTAAAGTAAAAGAAAAAAAAAATCTAATGTTTATAATTCTTAAATGGCAAAAGGCCATCATTTAGGGCAACCGCTGAAATACAAGCGCCATCGTGGTGGCTTTTTAAAGGCAAAAACTGTCAATGTCTTAATACTTCTGATCGACTGTAAGCGTCCTGCTTTGCATGTGTGGTGCTCAGACTTGATTGTAGCCTCAGGTATCTCCTCCTTATCGCTTCTGTTTAGCTACAGGCGACTCTGCATCACTGTATGTGCAAAAGGTTCCTCCGTTTCAGTGCGGCGTTTCTTCCCTGTTGTATTGCTTCGCATTCACAGCTATGCAAGATCACGCCTGCGCAGCTTCTGGGCACCCTTGCTTTTCATATCAGTTGTTCGCCTTTTTTTTTTGTTTTTTTTTAATCATGCGGTGTAAAGGAGGATACACTTGTGTTACTTGTTTGCAGTTTGTAACCACTGACCTATTCTTTAAATTAGCTGGGAAGGGGTTAAAAAAAAGTGAAAGGTAATTTTGGGAAAAAAACTGGGATCCCCGCCTGCGGAATGTGCATCCTATTATGAAGAAACAGAACTTTTTGTGCTTTTACGTACTTAAATGTTCCACGATCAGGGTTTGCAAAGCATATGATGCCTATGTGAGGCTATGTTTGTGTGTATCGCATTTTATGAAGCTACATTTCAAAAAAGAAAGATTGTTACATAATTGTGAAAGTATCATCACCTATTATAGTTGCATCAGGTGAAAAATGATTGGATTTTAGGCTGGGGGAGGGCGGGGGCTAATGCTTTTCTACTGTGGTCTTGAGCTGGAAATTAAGTAGCTGTAGAAACTGTGCTAAATATGTGCTAAAGTAGCTTTTGAGTTCTTGTGGCATTTTGATTGTAAATAGCTATTTTGCGTGAACTCATCAGTTTCCTCAATATTGGCTGAGTTGACTTATAGATTGCTCATTCCGAGGCTAGTAAGTGTTCTCTATAAATATCCAGAATGTACGGGGAGAAAAGAAAAATACAATACAGTAGAGGTGTTTTTGTAGGAGTCTGTGCCAACGTGTTGTCCTAAATAGAAGCGCAATGATAGATGAGACCAGTCTCTGAACACACGCTTACGTTTTGGGAAGGCTACTGCCAAGGTGGCAATCGGATTATTCATTCACATGCAATGAAATAAAAGCATTTGAATCTATTGTACCCCCAGTTGGAGCACACAAAGAAGCTGGATTTTGATTTAATTACAGGCAACGCGGCTACAGCGTCATAGCCTGCTTTGCATGAAACGTAAAAATCGCTTGTTTGAGGTTCGTCCCAACTTTGAAGCAAGTCATTTGTCATGGAAGGGTTAAATGTGAGATTTTATTTCACCACATTATGCGCGG